ATATATATATATATATATATATATATATATATATATATATATATATATATATATATATATATATATTTTAAAATCAATCTAATATTTAGACTTATGACAAAATGTTGCATTTGGCTGCTGGAAGAAAAATTTTCACGACAAATGCAGTGAGAGAGATTTTCCTGGATAAATAGATTTAATTATCTTTGAGAATGTAGTGAGTTGAGAATGTAGATGGAAGAATTGGCAAATGGCTTAGTAGCAACATTATAGGTGAGCATGGAATTCTAGAGAACGTTTGGAACTCAAAATTTGTAGCAAAGGGGCTCTATAGCAGTATTTAGAATTGTAAGCTTGTTTGAGTTTGGGATAAAATCATCTTCTAGACTATTCAATGAGTTCTCTTGTAGACATGAATAAGTCTATGTGAGTAGATATGACCTTCACCCTTTTGACTGTGCTTCGAGTGGGGAGTAGAGGGGTCTCAGTAAAAACCTCTGGAATTGTAAGCTTGTTTGAGTTTGGGATAAAATCATCTTCTAGACTATTCAATGAGTTCTCTTGTAGACATGAATAAGTCTATGTGAGTAGATATGACCTTCACCCTTTTGATTGTGCTTCGAGTGGGGAGTAGAGGGGTCTCAGTAAAAACCTCTGGAAAGCTATCTCTATTGGTTTTACCTTTTTTTCTCTTCGTGTGCTGGGAAAGGCTCAAAAAGTTAATGTTTGGGAGGGCCATTGGAGGAAGATAAGCCTTTGTGTGTTTTATTTTTGTGTTATTCTTTGTTTTGAACAAAAGGTTGCATTCAGGGGCCTCAGTGTTGCTTTCCCCATACCATTCTTTTTCAATATCTCTAGATTTTTGTTTTCATCCATTTAATAGAAAGGGGATTGATATGTCAAGTCTTCTTTATATTCTTTGTGACTAATACGTGGTCCTAAGAAGAAGGGATCTTAGGACTTGGACTCTGGATTCGGCTAGGGGTTTCTCTTGTCATTCTTATTTTCATATTTTGTCTATACAATGCCCTTTGACTATTGCTCCTGAGTCCTCAATCTTTTCCTGGAAGGTTAAAAGAGGTTTTTGTGTAGGAGGTCTTACATGGCAGGTGTTAATATCTTGGATTGTGCTCAAAGTCACTATTTCTTTGTTTTGTTCCCGGAATAGGGCATTCTCTAGGAGAGGCATGAGGAGGATCTTAGTCATTCGCAGTGGGATGGCTAGTTTGCAAACTACCTTTGGTGTCATTGGATGAGTTCGTTTTTTTTTTTCTCTTTTGTGTGTGTGTGTGTGGGAAACCAAGTTTTCATTGAGAAAAATGAAAGAAAAACAAGGGCTCTAGTCCAACAAAATCAAACCGACGTAACAATTACAAAAAGGCTTAGTGATTGAGCCCACGAAGACATTAAACCTTGCCACCTCCCAAACCTCACCATTGACCTCCCCACCTCCTTGAAATGCTATTGTTATGCTCTGGATAACTAGCCCATTGAATGATAAAGAAGCTACTATACCCCAAGAGTTTGCTCCTCTCAAAAGGGCAAGCTTAGTAGCACCTCCTCTACCGCAACATAGCAATCCCTATTCCAAGCTAAACATACCCCGAATGAATTCAGCCATCCTGCTCAAAGAGACTGAACAAATTGACAACCCCACAAGTGATTGTGCTTGACCCCTACAAAGGCGTACCACTATGGGAACAACACGAAAGAAGATGTCTTTGAACATAGTCTAAAGTGTTGACTCTCCCATGTAAAACTTGCCACACAAAAATTTCTACCTTCCTAGGGATTTTAACCTTCTAGGGTGAGGAGAACGTAAAGCCCAAGTGGGACAAGGAAGGGACAACCAACACATGGAAAAATAGACTACACTAAAAGCCCCTCGAAGTGTCTAAGGCATCAAAACCTAAAGTCCCTTCTCCCACGAGTCGCATGCTTATCCCGAAGAATAGAAAGAAGACTCATCACTTCTAACGTCTCTTTATCAGAAAGAGTGCGACAAAACAATAGGATTACGGGGATTTGACTTAAGAGGAACAATAAGATTGTTAGTGAGATCAAGAAGTTGGGGAGGAGGTTTGGGAGGTGGACATGTTAATGAATGTTTCTTTGTGAGTCTCAGTTACTAGGTTTTTTTTTTTGTATGCCGTGTATTCTTTCATGTCTCTCTCTCTCTCTCTCTCTCTCTTTTTCTCTCTCCATAGAAACAAAAACCATTTCCTTGATGTATGAAATAGATAGAAAAGACAGTCCTATCTAAGATAATTGCAAAAACGTCTCTATTGAGATAGAAGGGTTGATAAACTATAATTACAAAAAGAAGGTGAAAGATGACTCCAAGTTAAAGCAAGATAAGAAGTAAACTCAATAAAAGTGTGTATGTTTTTTTGCTTATCTGAGAAGATATGAGCATTCCATTCCTTCCTAGCTAAACATTCCAAAAAAATGCGTAGAGGAAGTTGCACCACAAAATCTTCTTTACCTTCTTGAAGGGGTGGTGACCAAGTAGGGTTAGTTGTAGAAGAGAGAACAAGTCATCGGGCCTAGTAATATGCCACCCGAAAGCTTGCTGGAGAAAAGTCCTGAAGGATGATGCAAAGCTACAATTGCTGAAGTGATGAACTTGTGACTCATGGCTGCAGCTAGGAGACAATAATGCAATCCCTGGAGATTTGTGCGGGAATATTTCAGAAGTGTTAATACACACATGAATGTGCTCCATTTAAAGAACTTGACTTCTTGAGGAGAGGGTCCACTCCATACTTGATCATATAATTCTGTATTGGCCACATTATTAGTGGAAGCAAGCTTTCTGGTTAGATCATGACTTCAGTGAAGGGAGTCTCCAAAATGCCCCTCTATTCAGTTGTAACAGGGCTTCAATCCCTAATATCAGGCAAAGGCCTTCTACTAGTTTTCGTGTTTTTTTTTTAATAGTGAAACGCATCCTATAAAACTGATGAATTCCCCCTTAACTTTTTGTCAATACAAGACTGTTATCTTCGGCTGTAATAATTTTCGCAATAGTATTCCTTCTTCTATTAAAAGCTACGATACGATGAAAAAAAGTTGTATTGCTGTCACCCTGCATCATCCACTTAGCTTTACATTTCTGACGCCACATAGCTTCTTCATTGGTTGAAATAGAACTCAATTCCTTTTTTTTTTCTTTTTTATCTCTAGCCTCTCTGTGAGTCCTGGTCTGATAATTGATCGATCTCCTCCTTAGAATCAATAATCATAAGCTTGCTATGAAGCCTTATTTTCATATTCTTTTGGTGCCCAAAAGGGAGATGGTCCACGATTTAACTTCCTTTTTTAGGCCCTTTAATTTTTGGATATCTGGCCACCCTTGAGAAGGTGTAGCTGACCACCAAGATCCAACCTTCCTTTAAAAAGTATTATGATTCAGCCAAACATTGATAAATATGAAAGGAGTAGGACCCCACGATTCCTTGACCAAGTTGAGACAAATAGAATAGTGTTCTGATGTGATTCTTTCAAGCCTAGGTTCTTTAGCGGATTCATATTTATTGATATGTGGTAAAAAAATTTGTCAATAATGGTCATTGTAGCAGCTGTTCGAAAGCTAGACCATGTATGCCTACCATTGGTGAGGGGAATATATAAAAGATCGGTGGAATTGATGTTTCTATGGAATCTCAATGGAAGCTTCTTTTTTTTTTTTTTTGCTTTTTATCTCAAAAAGAAAGATTAAGGCTTCTCTTCCATTTTATCGTTTTTTTTTTCTTCATGTTTATAAGAAACAAAGATGATTCATTTTGAATGAGAGATTGCAATCACTCTTCCAGGTCTCTCTTTTTTTTTTTTTTTTGCTTTTTATCTCAAAAAGAAAGATTAAGGCTTCTCTTCCATTTTATCGTTTTTTTTTTCTTCATGTTTATAAGAAACAAAGATGATTCATTTTGAATGAGAGATTGCAATCACTCTTCCAGGTCTCTCTTTTTTTTTTTTTTTGCTTTTTATCTCAAAAAGAAAGATTAAGGCTTCTCTTCCATTTTATCGTTTTTTTTTTCTTCATGTTTATAAGAAACAAAGATGATTCATTTTGAATGAGAGATTGCAATCACTCTTCCAGGTCTCTCTTTTTTTTTTTTTTTGCTTTTTATCTCAAAAAGAAAGATTAAGGCTTCTCTTCCATTTTATCGTTTTTTTTTTCTTCATGTTTATAAGAAACAAAGATGATTCATTTTGAATGAGAGATTGCAATCACTCTTCCAGGTCTCTCTTTTTTTTTTTTTTTGCTTTTTATCTCAAAAAGAAAGATTAAGGCTTCTCTTCCATTTTATCGTTTTTTTTTTCTTCATGTTTATAAGAAACAAAGATGATTCATTTTGAATGAGAGATTGCAATCACTCTTCCAGGTCTCTCTTTTTTTTTTTTTTTTCTGGTACATTATCTATTCCATTATCAAATGAAGGCTGTAGAAGTTCTACTAAGAAAACCTTTCCTTGGAAATCTAGAAAGGGAAATATCCAAAATATTAAAATCTTTGTTTGGACAGCTTATCTTCATTGCCTCAACACGCCAGGAATATTGTAGAAAACATCCACCCCAGAATACATTTTCACAATGGCAGTTTATTTTCCTTGTATGCTGTCCATCTTATAGTTTCTTCCTCCTTGATTTGAGACATGAAAATCATTAATGGAAAAAATGTTTAAAATTAAATTAAGAGAAATAGGCGTCGGAGGAAAGAATGCCACCTAGTAAGTAAACAAGTTAAGAAAGAATGAAATCTCAAATTCTATATTTTGAGATCATAGTAAATGGCCTTCCTTCCTCTGGTTCACAAACTTCTAATACACAAGATTGCCGGGAAGAGTCATAAACCCTATGAACTTTGGTTGGAACAGTTTATTCTGTATTTTTATTCTCTGATTGCACTTCGCTTGAGAAATTCTAGAGGTATGAGAATCTTGATCCACTTCATGACTTGTTACTGCTTTCTTGTAATTCTTTTTCCAGATTGTATTAGAGATGATTGAGCTTCGTGAGTTGGATACTGCTCGTGCTATTCTTAGGCAGACACAAGTGATGGGTGTAATGAAGCAGGAGCAACCTGAAAGATACTTGCGACTTGAGCATCTCTTAGTCCGAACATACTTTGACCCGAACGAGGTAAGAATTGGTTATTTAACTGAACCTACCTTTTGAAATGCAGGTTATTATTCATTCATTTTTTTTACAAGAAACAAATTGATTGTTGTATGAATTTCAAAAGATGGAGGCAACCACGTTCCATAGGAGTTACAAAAAGACTCTCCAATTAGTAATGGAAAAGAGGAGAGCATTTACACCAAGTAACAACCAAAAAGATTATAGCATGAAAAATCCTATCAAAATGGAGCTCCTTATCTTTTAATATTTTTTTGGTTCCTTTCATGCCAAGTAAGCCAAATAAAAGCCCTCTCAAAATGCTTCTAGATAAGTTTCTTTTCCTTGAAGGGATGTCCCAAAAAAACATAGGGGAGGAGTGGTGGGTCAATTGGAGTGCTGTTGACCAATCAAAGTAGAAAAAGAGAATTCCCCAAAATCTTGTTGCACATTTACAAGTTACAAAAGAATGGCTTTGCAATGTCGAATGATTCTTGCAAATGACACCAATGAGGAGAAATTTTCAATCCCGACATCCCATGTTGGAGTTTATTGCATGTGTTTATAGCTTTGTGGCTAAGCTCTCAAAGGAGGAATTTCACCTTCTTCTTTGGTTAGTGACCTGTCCAGATGAATAAAATAAAGATGGGATGGTTATTTATTTATTATCTTTGTTGAGAGATCATGCAGAGAAGTTGCCATTCATTCCCAGCTTCAAAAAAATAATGTTGGTAGGTCTTGTGAACTGAATGTGGGAAATATGGTGCATAAGCGAAGCCCATTCTTCAATTTCTGCTTAAATTAGATTTTTCCCCAGCCATAAGAGAAGTTTATCTACCATGGCCAATTTAGTTTCTTGGATAAAGACAATGGAGGGATTTTGTTTGATGATACAGAGCTTTTTAATAAGAGCTCTTTTTCTCCCTTGATCCCAAACCTTTTACATTCCATGAAATAATAATCAAATAAGATTTGACCCACCAGTTGTGATAGAAGAGGATGGTTTATCATAATTGATAGAAGATGTAAGCCCGATTTATTCTCGGAGTCCTTTGTGATGCTTCCTTGAGGATTGAGTCTTCTTGGAGGATTTGGTTGGCAAAGGCAATATGCCTACATCCATAGTTTTTAGCCAAAAGACCACTTGTAACGACCCGACTTTCGATACCTCGAATCACAGGTTGCCACGTATACTCGGGGGTAAAAAGGGCGGCAAAAGTTTCTTTTGTAAAACGGGAGACAAAGGATTTTAATACTAAATATGCATTCAAAAGACAAAAAAATAGTTTAAAGGTAACATCGGTGGAGTAAACGGTTTACTAAAAATACATAAGTTTTGAGAAATAGCATTTAAAATAATAATAAAATGACAAGAAGAAGACAACTCGATCTAAAGGGCACCTCTTGTAGCTGCACGGCTCCGCACGCTCCGTCACCAACGGTGGTCTACACTCCATCTGAAAAAATAGAATAACATGGAATAGGAGTATAAAATACTCCGTAAGCAATTTACTTGTAGGCTCTTGTCGGACTTAATCCTATATACGGAAACTTAAGCTATGTGCTCATAACTGGTTTTTTTAACAATCACCCAAACTGGAGCTAAACAGCAATACCAAACTTGGTAGGTCACTGTACAACTATCCTCGGCTACCTCCTTTAAGGGGTACTCAATCCCTCTCAGGTTCACAACTTAGAGTGTTCTATTTTCTTTTGGTTATAGATTTCAATATGTCTAGGTCCTTCATTAGTCTTGCGTGAGGAGCGCCTTGAGTCATTGTGGCCCATGGGAGGGCCCTAAGGTAATACTCGTCGATATGGAGGAGCCCTTTTGCTTTAAACGGTGATGGTACTCCATACATACCTACCTACTGAGCTCTAATAAGTGGATTCTCCCTAATGGTTTTGGGCAACATCTACCTGTTCCTAAGATCAATAAACTACCTGTCACTATTGCCTATTCTAGGATAGAACAGTAACTACCTGCTCATGTACCCTCATCGGGTTAAAACAGTAAAACTACCTGTCGCTATGCGCTTTCCAGGCTGGGACAATAAACTACCTGCTCATGTACCCTCATCGGGTTAGAACAATAAAACCACCTATCTTAGGAATAGTAACTACTTGTCTTAGGAACAATAACTACATGTTACTTTGCCTTTTCAGGCTAGAACAGTAAACTACCTGTCACTACACCACATAGGCTAGATCAGTAAAAAGGTCATGGCTCTCCCCACTAGGCACCATCGATATGAACTGCAATAGTATACTCTCTAGGACTACTAATATCCTCTATGGGTGACAACTAAGCCATGTGTAACAAGTAGACCCTAACCTCTGTTGGTTAGTTCACGAATAGGGGCTGTGCCCTATCCGTCCCTATAAGGTACCTGGTCAACCCAAGGAGGCTATGAAATTCATGACTAGGTGCTAGGACCAAAATACGTGAAACAATAACTCATAGTCTATGGAAACCATAATTAAAATTTTATGGCACATAGCAATTAGTCCAACTTATAACTACGCAATAATGAGCTATCCAAACCCTAAATCAATGCATAACAATGAATAAAGACATACAACATGCTCATCATGTTTATTAAGTGATAATAATTCAACCTCAGCATACTAGGAAGCATATAAGTCTAATTATCTATCCGAGTTCACAAGATCATGCATGTAGAAGCTATACGACGGTAAATATAATTGAGTGGTAAACTATTCACATCATCTAAACACAATTCTCAAGAAACGAGAAACTAGATTGAACTAGACTCCTGAGTATAATACTACTAGATCATTGCCCTCAATCCAAATCGACTCCTACTAGTATTTCTTAGAAACTTGCTCCATATGGTTACGTAGTAGACTTTTGAGCTTGTTTTGGGTCTTCAAGGATAGTCAAATTTCTCAAAATTCCTCAATATGCTCTAAATCAAGTCAAAAGAATAAGACCGGTGAAAATGACTAGTTTCAAATTTGTTAAAGAGAAGGTTGAGAAACTAACCGTTGACTGTACGATCATCTTCTCTAACTTGCGTGTGTGCCATTCAGTTTTATTTATTTTGAAAAAAATGTCTTTTATTTATTTTCTTAAAATTCCAGATGTTACACCACCAACTGCAGATAAACCGATAATTGTAAAGGGTTCATAAAGCAATGGTGCTTGTTGATCCAACTGAAAGATCTCAAGCAGCTGCTTCTCAATATCATCCTGTGGTTGTGGAGGCACTGGACCTAGCCAAGAACTAAACCTACTCCTTTCTCCCAAATGCTCTCCACATTTCTAAAAATACTCCTATTTCTTTCCAGCAAAATGTTTGAAATTGGCGTCAAACCATCTGGACCTGGAATAGTGTGTCCAAGCTAATTTAACTCATGCGAATTTGTTCTGCATGGGTCCACTCAAATGCGTTAAATGCATTATTGAGTGTTAATCCTGAATATCTTTTCCTATTTACTAAAGGGTGCTATTTAGTTAGAAGCTATGCTCTAAGTCTACACTCATGTATATATGTATATATTTTTCATATAAATGAGATGGTATATTTTATTCCTAAGATGTTTAATAAGTTATTATGACAGGCTTATCAAGATTCAACAAAAGAGAAACGCCGAGCGCAAATTGCCCAAGGTTTTCAACTCATCTATGTTTCATTTCCTCATTTTCTGTATGTCCTTAATTTCTTATCATGCTCGAGAATTCAATAATTTGACTTAGTTATTTGGTAAAGTAAAATTTGATTACTCATGGATAATAATAGTTTTACTCAATCAAATCTTAATGGCCCTTGTTCGTCTAATATATATACAGAAAGAACCGTTTATTTTTGCAAAATTAAGAAGTTAAATGGGAAATAACTCACAAAAACTGGGACTTCATTGAATCACTTTAAAAAATAGAAGAACGGTGACGTCTGGTGGTATTAAACATGTAACCGTTGTGGGGCTTCTTGGTAAGACTATTTGGGAGTTTCCCCGTTGAGTCTTTAGTATTTTCTAGTAAACTGTGCCAATCAGTCTTTTATTAGATTTTGAAGATGTTAGCTGTTCTTGTAACCTTTTATCTTCTTCTCTAGGATAGGTTTTTCATCAAGGGCTCAATCAAAGTTTCATTTTTAAAACCTGAGACTGATCTAAGGAACAGGGTTTCATATTTTGTATCAGGAAAAATGGTTAAAATTTGGATGTGTTATCTATTTTAAATTGTTGTATGTTTGTTAAGTTCTTATGCTGTTTTTGGTTGTTCTTACACATGAACTTGTGTTCCTGTTGCTGATTTCGTGTTGGTTATGTTCCTATTTGTATTTTACAGCCCTCGCAGCTGAAGTGACTGTGGTTGCACCTTCTCGATTGATGGCTCTAATTGGCCAGGCTCTAAAATGGCAACAGCATCAAGGTAATTTGAAGTTCTGTTATACCTTATACGTTAATAATCATTTTGCTAGGTTCCATGAAAGCTCAGTTTTTCCTTAAAAAAGGTTCCATGAAAAGATGGGAAAAAATCTGGCTATCTTGGCGTTATGTAATTGCAGCCTTAGCTTACCCAAAAAATGGAAAAGATTGTGAGAACATTGTGGGAGATACTTTTATACTAGGTTCCATGGGAGGATGGGGAAAGTCACGCTATTTGGTGTTGTATAATTGAAACCTCAGCTTACCCAATAATTAAAGACTATGATAGAAGAATATTTGGAGATATCCAATTATATATCCTCGAATGGACATCTGGTGTAAATGTTAACATCAATGTTTTATCACAAATATTGGAATACATATTGTGGAAATCATAAACTATTAAATGTTTTTTTTCCCCATTAATGTGACTAATACATTAGAGGATAACTGTTAACTTGGTTTTTATACATGTTTTCATATGTACGGTGATGAAGTATCTCTATGATTAGTGATTTATTCTACTTTCAGGTTTACTTCCTCCAGGAACACAGTTTGACTTATTTCGTGGAACTGCTGCTATGAAACAAGATGTGGAGGATGTTTATCCAACTACTCTTTCTCACACAATAAAGGTGAGAAGAGTTAATCAGATACTTGTTTGGATGTTCCATGTTGCATGATTTTTTATTGATTACCCCCGCTACTATTATTATTTTTAAGACAAGAAGCCCTGTGGTACACTCTCTCGGCCACGTCTTTTCAGGAAAAGACATAGGAAAGTCATTGATGCGCAATTGGAAAGTCATTCAAAGAGAAAGTCCCATATAACCCAAACATTCTAGGGACCCACATAAGAAAACGGAATAAAACTGCCAAATAACTCCTTAACTTAAATACTACCCAGACCGTAACTTCCAAACACTTATTCACTTCTTTTAACGCCCTTGAGCCCACACAAAACCAAGTTCCTGGTGCTTCAGTGCTCTCTTGAGCATTTTTTCGTGCATTAGTAAGACGGATAGGAAAGGAATGGAGGAAAAGGAAATGACTAAAGGAGGTAAAAAAGAGAGAAGACATCTCTTGTTCTTTCAGTTCTCTTTTATGTATATGAGCATTTTCATTGCTCTTGAGTTGAATTTTTTGCTTGATTTGGGCTCGTAAACTTTGTACTTTGTCTAGCAAAATACTTATGAACTCTCCGAAGTTTCAAAAATACCCTTACATTTTCAAATTAGTTCAAAAACACTTTAGCATTAGTTATGGATTGAATCCATTAGTACTTTGTTTCAAATACCCTTGGATTTTCAAAACGGTTTAAAAAATACATTTGAACTTTCAAAAGTTTCATTGATACCCTTAATTTTTTTAAAAACTTCAAAAACCTCTCTAAACTATTTAAAACGTCAAAAAATGCTCTTACCATTACTATGTGGATGAAACCGTTAGTACCATGTTTCAAAAATACTCATGAAATTTTAGAAGTACATTAATATCTTTAAACTTTTAAAAAAAAAATTAAAACGTTTTTAACGCTAGTATATGAATAGAAACCATTTATCTACGCCCCATAAACCAACTCCTAAGGCTCAATGTTGCTTCTACTCTAGCCCAAGGTCTTTCAAACGCAATATTGCATCTCATTTCACCATCTTATTTCTTAATAATACGACCCTCATGCGTCTACATCAATTTGAGATTTCTCAAGATGATTCAAACCCGTCATTGGGTCAAAACAGGTTGCTTTATTAGGACATGCTGGGTGATTTGAGCACTTATCGGTACAACTTGAGTCAATACCATGCCAATGGGAACTATTGGGTCCACTGATGCTTCATGATGCCACCTCGAGCATTAGATGTATCTACTTTTGTAGCTCACTCGGGTACGCTTACCATGAACCAACCTATTAGTCAACTTCATATTTTGGACCCTCTAGACATACATCCATCCGAGCATTATTGAGGCATAAACTTGTCCATCCTGAGTCATTGTTGCACACCATGCTGAAGTCCAATCCTATTATACCACAACTTCTGACTCAAGAGTAGGAGTGAGTTCAATCCTATTATACCACAACTTCTGACTCAAGAGTAGGAGTGAAATGTCAGCACACCCGTGCCACTTGACACTGTCCTTGAAAACTCATTCCCAATAGAAGATGCCCAAGACACTCATCTTGTGATACTCATCCATGCCATGACACATTCCAGTGCCATGAAGTGACTCACTTAGGTCTTGAGGTCTAGAGGTGGTCGAGAGCCAAAACCATGCCTCCTTCTACCGTACCTTTTGGCATAATGGATTTGGCACCATGCATATCAAAATGGTGAGGGATCATAAGCCAATGTGGGGCATATGTTTGGTGTCCGATTAACTCCAAATTTGACGAGCTTACATCTTTCATCTATTTGAACTTAACTGCAAGCCGCTAGTTGAATTTCACTATGGAATTCTGACTTTCGAGGATATGGCTTGAGGCCTGACCTTCCCCTACTAAGCTTGTCTCTGTCACCCTTGAGTACATTATTGCTTCTTTTCTTGCTTGTACCTTAACTTGTCCACTCTTCTTAGTGTGTTAGATGATGCACCGTCCTTCTTGGTTGCATCATGACACTTTTCTTTTTAGTATGGGTGTAACTCTAGACTTGTCCTTGTCTGACTCCATTGGGCTGATGTTTTTGTAGGCCCTTCTTTTATTTTCTTTTGTGAGTTGTGAGTCCTGACCTCTTGTATACTTCCATTTTTTCTCAATGAAAGATGAAGTAAGAATTTATCTGGAATATGTAGGAATAAACAAGAGGAACAAACAAGAGGAATGACAAGATGTTTATTCTTTTCGTAGTTTTCTTTTTTCTTTACTTGATTAGGATCGGTTCTTTGTATCTCTCCTGTCCAATTTAGTCATGGTTCAAATTAATTTTGATGCAGTTCGGTTCAAAAAGTCATGCAGAATGTGCTCGGTTCTCACCAGATGGGCAGTTTCTTGTTTCTTGCTCTGTAGATGGATTTATCGAGGTATAGCCATAGAGATGGATGGGGGTCAGAGAATTGTCCACGAAGTTTCTTTAACTTCTGTTTGCATACAGGTCTGGGATTATATAAGTGGGAAACTCAAGAAGGATCTTCAGTACCAGGCTGATGTAAGTATGCTTTCTTTTGTCCTCTGTTGCATTGTCATGTCTTTTCCATATGTAAGTTCACTTAGTTTTGATATCCTGAAAAGCATTACCTGCATACATATTCTTTTTTCTTTCTAAGTTTCTTTTTGGTGCATATTTTAATATGCAAGTGGGTTTACAGGAAACTTTTATGATGCATGATGATCCGGTCCTTTGTGTTGATTTTAGCAGAGACTCAGAGATGATCGCTTCTGGTTCACAAGATGGGAAAATCAAAGTGAGTTCTGAGTTCATCTTTAGTAGGATGTCACTGTAATCACTTCTATGTTTGTTTCTTTTGCTCATCAATTATCTGTCTTTATCACGTCATTTAAATGTGCTGCTAGATTAAAGATTATCTTTATAACTTCATTATGTATCAGGCTTAATTTTCCAGAGAATTTTTTCCATCGACTTTCTGTCTACTCAGTCTTGGGTCCTATTCTATGGGAGGATAAAATTTATCCATTTTACAAACAGAAAATAACTGGCTATTTTCTTTCTAATTTAATTTACTTTTCCTTGTACTTAAATTAGAGATTAAATAGCCAGTGATTTTTCCTTGAACACAAAGTTTGTTCAAATTGGAGTTTTGTTAGTTTATGGTTTTGAGTTTTACAAGTTTGTGAATATGTGGAAAAACTCATGTCTAAAAGGAATAGCCAATTCCTTGCTATTGTAAAATGGATGCATTTACATGACATGGTTAGTACAGAAGGTCGATTGACGAAGATAATTTTTTTAGTTTCCATATTGGGGAGGAAACTAATACCTAGTGTAGTTTTCTAAGTATCGTAGAATTGGGGAGAATAGTGGAAGACTTTTAGATTTCTTCGCCGTCTTTTGTAATATTTCCTTCATTCCAATATAGATATCAAATTGGTTCCTGTTTGATATTAAAGCATGGTAAATCCATTTAGAAAAAGCAGTTGTTAGTGATTTAATTTAGCACTTATATAGCTGAAAAGCAAGGATGGGGCCAAATTGGAAGATCAAGTTGGCCATTCTGGAATTTCTAAGTAGCCAAAAAATCTAGAAGGAACTTGAATTTTTCAAAAATCCACATCTAATGAGAAGGAATAAATGTTTAATGAATGATTGGAACCATGGGATGAAGCATTCTAACATAGATGAAATTGATATGGAAGAAGAAGCCAGAAAAGGAATGATCAAAATATTAGGAGATCTATCATAATCAATTAATTGAAAATTCAACCAAGTTATGATGATTATCAATGCTTCACCACTCGGTAGACTAGCACACAAATGAAGATATCTGTTTTATTCCCACAAGGGAAGGAGAAGCGACCAGAGGCAAAGCATTACTCACTGTCAATAAGTAAATGTGATAGGAAAGCATCGTTCTGATATGAACGGCACATTAGTAATTAGCTTGGGAAGTTGTTATGGGTTTGTTATATATAGAGAGAGTGGGAAAGGATGAAGGCAACAATTGTTTACTGATTTAGGCTAGAGTGTGTATACTCAAGAGAGAAGGGTTTCAAGTATCTTGGATACTTAGAGTTCTCTTTTATATTTGAATATCATTCTAGCTGTTTGAGTCCTATCACGTTCTTTGTCATCAATCTTAATTTTGAATTACTGCCAGAGATGCGAAGATTATTTCTGGAAACACTATGAAGATAATTTGACCTTGCTACCTTTAAGCTCTTCAGCTTATTATTCTGTCTGAAGACTTGGTTATAGTAGATTTCTGTTTACTGACGACTTGAATTCACAATGTCATGAGCTGGGTAAGAATAGTATCCAATATTTGAGGATCCGTGGAGCCTGTTAAAGGCAAAAGCTAAAATCCTATGTTGTAACAGTAGTGAAGTCCTATGCCGGTACCTTAGAGTTGAGATAAGAGCAGACTTGGAAGTAATCACAATGCTGCTGTGATTTGGTCCATTTTAAAGCCTCACGTTGGAGCCCTTACTTGGACATTCCTTATCCCTGCTCCCTCTACTATTGTTTTGATTGAATACAAGTTTTCTTTTCTTTTTAATAATCTAAAAAAGGTAGAATATTATTCATACAATGAGGCAGGGATGCAGTAATCCAAGTTAGACATAGTGGGAATAACATTAATTTGTACTATTTGATTGTGTCTTTGATAAGATGCGATAATCATTGTTCATTTGTCCTTGATACCTTAGGAAGTTCTTGGTTATCATTGTGACAATATTCTTCATTTGTCTTTGATACCTTAGGAAGTTGTTGGTTATCATTGTGACAATATTCTGTTACTTCAATCATTCTAGATCCATATATTTGTCGTGTTTTAGGTATGGCGTATAAGGACTGGTCAGTGCTTGAGGCGTCTTGAACGTGCTCATTCTCAGGGAGTTACGAGTGTTGTTTTCTCTCGTGATGGAACCCAGTTATTGAGTACATCTTTTGACACCACAGCAAGGTTGGTTCGAGATCTTGATTGTTGCTAGGAGAATATTTTCTATGTTTGCTCAAGTGGACATTATTGTATTATGGTATATGCCAACGACAATCATGGTATTATGTGATTAGTTTTTGGTTTTTTTTTTCATAAAAAAAAACCTCATCTTTACTTTCTTTCCCCAAGTTAATTCTTGGATGGGCCAGACTTCTTCCTCCTTTTTTTTTGTTTTTTTGATGGTATAACTGATTGGTGTTATATTTGATATAGAATCCATGGCCTAAAGTCTGGGAAGCTATTGAAGGAATTCCGTGGTCATTCATCATATGTGAATGATGCAGTCTTTACTAATGATGTAGCACGTGTCATTACATCATCTAGTGATTGCACGGTCAAGGTAAGTCATTATTTTGGTTATGTTCTACGTCTAGTTGACTGTGTAATGTACTTGTTCAAAGTGACACGGTAAATTTGTTGTTCTTTGTAGGTATGGGATGTGAAGACAACCGATTGTCTGCATACATTCAAACCCCCGCCTCCATTAAGGGTTTGTGAAAGTGCATTAATATAGATGAGAAAAACTAACTCTGTTGAACTTCAAGTTCCCTTAGTTGCTCCCATTCCTCACCATTGTTCTTTTCAATTTTTGGAATTTTAGGGAGGAGATGCCTCGGTGAACTCAGTTCATTTGTTCCCCAAAAATGCAGATCATATTGTTGTTTGTAACAAGACATCATCAATATACATTATGACATTGCAAGGGCAGGTAATTTTTGTTAATTGCTAAGCTGGGAGTGAGATCATTTTCTTCTCTAGATCGTCTTTCTTGATAAGAGACTAGTTTATTGATAAATAAAACTCACATAGCACTAGGCTGTCAAGCCAATTGGTAGAAAAAAGTGTCTTTCAAAGCAAGACCATGGTGAGGGTTGGGTGACAAGCACTGCATCACCATCCCTACCCACATCTTGCAAAAATAATGTTCCTCTTTAAATTGTCATGGTTTACAAATCAATCATCCTCTTGATATGTCCACGTGGAAATATCTTCAAGTACCTAATGATTAGGTGTGGCTTTGAAGTTAACCGGTGCAGCTATTGTTGGATTGTTCTCAATAATTTGAACATATCTTTTCTTTGCTCTTGCGTCTCTACGCCTGTATGCAAACAAATGTTTGAAGAATCAGCTTGCATGGCTTTGCAACAGAAGCACTTTTTGGTCTTTTTTAAAAATTTCTTTGACGTGAAATGTGTCTACATGGGTTCAGATGAAAGTTTTGCCAAACTCAACAGGGGAGGGATTTGAAATAAAAATGTCGTTCCTACAAATTTGTTAGACCAAATATGAGAGTATTTCATATTATCCTATATATTAGAGCCAAATATATATAGGCCTATATGGAAGCCCAAAACTAATAGTAGTACAATTACAATCAAGGACAAAAGACTTTGTTTTTTTTAACAAGAAACACCTATGAAAAGGAAGGAAAAAAAGGATACAAGTCCCCATGGGAATTAAAAAAGATAACAAAAGAAGAAATAAACCTAAAAATACAAGAGGATGAAACAATAAAAAGCAACTAGCGAAGCAAACAAAAAACCACAAAAATCTACAATAAAGAGCTCCAACTGTAGCTAAAAATGCAGAAACTTCTTTCGGAGAAAAGTATAACAAAGACCCAAGGGCTTGAAACTCAGAAAAGCAGCTTGAGAAAATGAAGCCACGAAAAGATGGTTTTGAAGGTACACTTGCATTGAAGGAGTTATTAGACTAATGCAAGCCTTTTGAACGTTCCAAACGCCTCCAAAATGCCAAAGAAGAATGTTCAATGAAGATCTCTCAAGTAACCACGCTCTCCGCTCTAGATCATCTTTAAGAAGAAAATCCAGAACACAATTGAATCCAGCCATAATAAACTGTTAATCAAACAAAACTACTTATTCTGGAAGGCACATTGGACCGAATTTTGTTTTTTAAAGCCAAATGCTTCGAAGTTTCCCATAACTTCTAAAAAGCCATAAAAAAAATCTTCAATGAGGGATTATACAGAAAAAACAACTGAACTGTTATTTGAGGTGAATGAGATGGAATTTCATGTGTCTGAAGACCGCAAATCTTAATAAGAGATGAAAAACATTTAGGAATCAAGAGGTGGACTCCACTGGAAATTCTCTTTGACTTGGTCATCCACAAACTTTAAAGAAGGTACAACATCTTCTTTGGGATAAATGAGAGCCAAGGATTGTTTAAGATTATCATTCTCACGATGGATTTCCTGATCAATTTTAATTCCTCACTACTTTTATCATTAGAGTCAATAAATAGTGAAGAAGATGATTGAGCATTTGAAAATTTAGGGCTGACGATGGAAGGTTTCAGCGACGCATCTAGCCTACATGGTGATTTTTCGGCCAATGGACTGTTTTCTTGGCTGGGCAGTAAAGAAAAATTACTTCAGTAACAAATGATAGATTCTGCGAGCAACGACCGCAGATTCTGACGGCTTAGTGATACACAATAGTTTCCCATGATATTATGAGACCCAATACAGGAGAAATTCATATTAGTATAGCCAAATGTGTATAGGTATTCATGGAAGCCCTAAACTAATAATAGTAAAAATACAATGAAGGACAAAAGACTAAAAAGCCTTTAAATCTGCTACAACACAAATTATTATGATTCTTTTGACACACTTCAAAATTTACTGCAGAATAATTTAACTAATACAATTACTATCTTGGCTTACTAATCTCTCTTGGTTGCATTTAGGTTGTTAAGAGCTTCTCATCTGGTAAAAGAGAAGGGGGAGATTTTGTTGCAGCTTGCGTATCACCAAAAGGTGAATGGATATACTGCATTGGTGAAGACAGGTCAGTTTTCTTATGTTATGGATACATATAAATAAAGTCATCCAGCTGTGTTGTGTCCTATGTTGAAATATCATCACTAGCCCAATAGAGTCAAGCCCAATTATTGTACGAGTCCAGTATATTTATTTTAGTAGAGATTTTAGGACAAAGAGATGTAGATATTTTAGGAGAAAGATTCAGATTTGTTAGGTCTAAATTTAGATTGGTTAAATATAAATTGTTTAGGCTTAGTATAAATACCCCTCCACCCATCAATTGCTCAAATCGGCAATACGACAATCATGCCTGGCAATAAGTCTGATACAGTGTCGCTACATAATGTTTATCATGTACCGGGTATAAAGAAGAACTTGTTGTCGGTGTCACAACTAACAACATCAGGAAGCTACGTCTTGTTTGGGCCAGAAGATGTAAAAGTTTATCAAGATGTTAAGATAATAGGAAAGCCGACAATAGAAGGACGAAGAGTGGAGTCTGTCTACGTCCTATCTGCAGAGTCTGCCTATGTTGACAAGACCCGAAAGAATGAGACGACAGATCTATGGCATGCAAGATTGGGACATATTAACTACCATAAGTTGAAGCTGATTATGGAGAAATCCATGCTCAAAGGTCTACCTCAACTTGAAGTCAAAACAGACGTTGTCTCCGCTGGATGTCAATATGGTAAAGCTCATCAATTACCATACAAAGAGTCAAGTTTCAAAGCAAAGAAACCATTAGAGTTAATTCACTCTGATTTGGTCGGCCCCGTCAAACAAGCATCGATCAGCGGAATGCGGTATATGGTGACGTTTATTGACGACTACTCAAGATATGTGTGGATTTTCTTTATGAAAGAAAAGTCTGACACATTCGCAAAGTTTCAAGAATTCAAGATGATGGCCGAAGGAGAAGTAGGAGTGAAGATTCGTTGCCTATGTTCAGACAATGGTGGAGAATACACATCAGATGAGTTCGATCAATATTTACACGACTGTGGGATACGACGTCAGTTTACATGTGCCAACACGCCACAACAAAATGGTGTAGCAGAAAGAAAGAATCGACACCTTGCAGAAATCTGTCGAAGCATGTTACATGCAACGAATGTTCCAGGAAGATTTTGGGCTGAAGCTATGCGAACTGCTGCCCATGTGATCAACAAGCTTCCTCATCCAAAGCTAGGATTCGTCTCACCATTTGAGATACTATGGGATATGAAACCTACCGTTAATTACTTCCGAGTATTTGGGTGTGTTTGCTATGTATTTGTGCCTAACCATCTCCGTAGCAAGTTTGACAAGAAAGCAGTCAAGTGTGTATTTGTTGGATATGACAATCAAAGAAAAGGATGGAGGTGCTGTGATCCAACAAGTGGAAAATACTATACATCAAGAGATGTAGTTTTCGATGAAGCATCCTCATGGTGGACCTCGAAGAAGAAAGTCTTACCAGATTCAAACATCGAAGAAACTCTACAACAGAAGATGGGGGAGCAAACTACACAAATTCAATCAAATGTTGATGCACCTGAAGATCCAAGTGACATTGATATTGACAAGCAAGAGGTGACTCAATCAAGTGAATCTGATAAAAATGAAACGACACATCAACAACTTAAGCGATCAAGTAGAATCCTAAGGCCAAATCCTAAGTATGCAAATGCAGCTATCATAGAAGATAGAGTTTACGAACCAGAGACATATGAAGAAGCATCACAAAACTCGGTTTGGCAGAAAGCGATGGAGGAAGAAATTATAGCCCTGGAGCAGAATCAAACTTGGGAACTAATGCCAAGACTAGGAGATGTCAAACCCATCTCTTGCAAGTGGGTCTACAAAATAAAGCGTCGACCGGATGGATCAATCGAGAGATACAAGGCTCGACTCGTGGCTTGAGGATTTTCTCAACAATATGGACTAGACTATGATGAAACATTCAGTCCAGTGACAAAAATTACTACCGTACGAGTCCTGCTAGCACTCGCAGCAAGTAAAGATTGGAAACTGTGGCAAATGGATGTGAAGAATGCCTTCTTGCACGGAGAGTTAGACAGGGAGATTTATATGAACCAACCAAAGGGATTTGAGAGTGCAGCTAATCCTAATTATGTATGCAAGCTTAGAAAAGCTCTTTATGGACTGAAGCAAGCACCGAGAGCTTGGTATGGTAAGATTGCTGAATTTCTTACCCAAAGTGGTTATTCAGTTGCGCATGCAGACTCAAGCTTATTCATCAAAGAAAGAGAAGAAAATTTGACAATTGTGTTGGTCTACGTGGACGATTTGATTATCACCGGGGACGACGAAAGGGAAATTTATCAAACAAGAGAAAATTTATCAGTACGCTTTCAGATGAAAGAGCTAGGAGAGCTTAAACACTTCTTAGGCCTAGAAGTTGATCGCACAGATGAAGGACTGTTTCTCTGCCAACAAAAGTATACAAGAGATATGCTTCAGAAGTTCAACATGTTAGAGTGCAAGCAAGTTTCAACACCGATGGAGATAAATGCCAAGATTTGTGCACATGAAGGCAAAAAGTTGAACGATGAAACAACATACCGACAACTAGTAGGTAGTCTTATCTACCTAACTTTAACTCGACCTGATATCTCTTATGCAGTTGGGGTTATGAGTCGATACAGGCAAAGTCCAAAGAAGCCTCATCTGGATGCAGCTCGAAGGATCTTGAGATATGTCAAAGGTACAATCGACTATGGTCTTTTGTACAAAAGAAGCAAAGACTGCAAGCTAGTTGGATACTGTGATGCTGACTATGCAGGAGACCACGATACTCGGAGGTCAACCACTGGGTATGTGTTCAAGTTTGGTTCAGGAACAATTTCTTGGTGCAGCAAGAGACAACCAACAGTATCATTATCAACTACAGAAGCAGAGTATAGAGCAGCGGCTGGAGCAGCTCATGAAAGTACGTGGCTGAAACTCTTGATGGAAGATTTGCACCAGAAAATTGACTATCCAATATCACTTCTTTGCGACAACCAATCTGCGATTCGCCTTGCAGAAAATCCGGTGTTTCATGCTAGAACAAAGCATGTGGAGGTGCACTACCATTTCATTAAAGAGAAGGTCCTAAAGGAAGAAATCGAGATGCAGCAGATCAAGACAGATGACCAAGTGACAGACTTGTTTACAAAAGGGCTGAATACTGGCAAACATGAGAGTTTTCGCTGCCAGCTCAACATGGTGCAGCGAATGAGGACTAGTTCTGAGGGGGAGTGTTGAAATATCATCACTAGCCCAATAGAGTCAAGCCCAATTATTGTACGAGCCCAGTATATTTATTTTAGTAGAGATTTTAGGAGAAAGAGGTAGATATTTTAGGAGAAAGATTCAGATTTGTTAGGTCTAGATTTAGATTGGTTAAATATAGATTGTTTAGGCTTAGTATAAATACCCCTCCACCCTACCTAGGTTAATCATCCAAGAAATCCAAAAACAGCAGAAGTATTCTACAGAGTGTCTTGTATTCTCTTCTCGATCGGTGTTAATAAAGAGTGCGAGTGTTTCCCACAGTGAATTGTGTTCAACATCCTCTATTTGTCATATGTGGTGAAGTGTCCTTCTCTCTTTTTTAGACGTGAGTAGTTTATACGTACTTTACAATGTTGCAAATCCTTGGTAGTTGGTACCCTTTTCACGGAAGTAAAATTGTCTGACCTTACCAAATCATAATTTCTTAGGTCTATTGGTATAACTATATATCGATCTAAGCGTCAGTACCCTATATTATATGATCTTGGAGTGGCCCTTTTTTCAACTAATGATCCTTTAATATCTGTTGCCAAGGCAATATGCTGTAACATATTTGAGTGGTCTCCATTCCTGGGTTTTTTAATTAATAAATTTATGTATATTTATAGTTATTAATATTATTATCTAGGAAGCACGGATACTGAATTTGAAAAGTGTTTGTATTGGACACGTGTTAGACATAGATATGTCCATCATTCGCAGAATGATGGCGTTTTCAGGATCGGGGGAGGGAGGGAAAATGAAAGAAGGGAGAAGGACTGTTTAAGGGTTAGGTTTTTATTATTATTTTTTTTTTCAAATTACAAACTTTTTCGTAAATTTTATTTTTAGGCTTTTTATGGGTACTTTGTGGCTTGAGCAGTTGTTTTGATTGGGTTTTGACTCATATGGACTTATTGGGTTTTATGTAAATTAAAATTTTAGACTAGATTCAATGGGAAATTGAATTTTCATTCACGTTTTTTTAATTTAATAATTCTTAATAGTAAGTGAAAAAAAAAACTTAAGTATTTTGGATTTTATCTTTTAATATTATTTAATAAATAAAAATAATGTGTCCTCGATTTGTCTGTGCTGTAAATTTTTAGAAATTTTTTTATTGCCGTGTTCGCGTTGTATCCATGTCATGTCTCTGTGTCCTTGTTCTTTAGTTAACTATTATTATTAAGATATGATGTTGAATTTGTCTACCATCTGCAGGAACATGTATTGCTTCAGCCACCAATCCGGTAAACTGGAGCATCTCATGAAGGTATGTGTTTTGTACTCCAATTACTTGGATTTCTCTTGGTCAATTCTCAGTTGCTATAAGAATATCTTTAGTAATTTAAACAACTTGTGTCAAGAACACGGAAAGATTAGAACGCCACATTGCTTATCAGAATGGCATTTTTAGTTGGCTATAGTATTATATTTAAATATGGTGATGGAATCAGAGTTGGCTCATCAATGTATAAATTATAATTGATTAGGTTACTATATTTTAGGTTGGTCTTTCTATCAATGATTGGTCTGATAAAATGGTTGGAACTGCCTCATTCTTGGTTTGTCATGAACGCCAAATTAAATTAGTGATTTAAGGGCATATAAGTTAAAGGCTAAATTAATAATAATACTCTTAAATGATACATTGTATCAAAATTATCCTTAAAACTTTCAAAAGTTTCAATAATATTATTAACTTTCAAAAAAAATCTAAAAAATACTTTTACCGTTAATTTTGGATGGAAACCGTTAGTACTTTATTTTAAAAATACCCTTGAACTTTTAATGGTATTTCAAGATTATGTTTTGTCTCTTCCTCGTAGAAAGACAATCAAACAATTCCCAATACCCATAAACTTTCGAAGGTTCATGAGTATTTTTGAAACGTGGTACTAAAGGTATTGTTAAATTTTTCAGAAAAAGTTCTAGTTTTGAAGTTTTTAAAAAGTTCATTAGTATTTTTGAAGTTTTTAAAAAAGTTTAAGAGTAGTAATGAAACATTTTTATAAGTTAAAGGGTATTTTTAAAAGTTCAAGAATATTTCTGTAACAAGAAAAAGATACATATCACCAATCGACGTAAAAACAGTCTATCAGTGCATCTATTGAGTATTGATAAATGTCTATTAGTGACTCTATAAAAATGATTATCTGAAATGTGTGGGAGTTAAAAAAACGTATTTAAAAAAAGTGAGAAAATTTAAAAAGTTTTCATATTTGCAAAATTATTACCCTGTTGCTATATTTGGAAACATGAGAATGTGAATTTACACCCATTAATTTTTTCCTAGAAAAAAGTTCCAAGTCTTTGTATCCTGTAAAATAGTTAGCCATAGCAACCTAAAGAGAGCATCAAGATGCCAATAAATTGGTCTGCAGCAGTAATCTTCCTCTATCTAGAATCAGGAAATGCTAAAAGACCTTTATCATAGCCCAACAACCTGCACTTGGGTTATTAAGACCTGCCAACTCGAGAATCTCGACGAAACTTAAGGTGAAAAAGTGGCAATAACATATAGTATAGTTTTGAGCCTCCAATGCCTCTCTTCATAAAACATATGAATGAGAACATGGAAAGCCAAATTGGAATGCCTCTAGGTCTAGGTATAGCCTTTTGTGTTAGTTTATCGCCATCAAAGAACTCAACTGTAGGAAAATATATGAATGGTTCTTTGAACGAAATGTGAATGAATGATTTGAAGTTGTGGGATGTAATTTTTAGTAGGAAACTCATAACTTTCTCCCTCCTTGGTACATTTTCTAAACAGGACTTTCCTTTTTCTTGGGCTTGTAATTTGATCATTGGTTTGAGTTGTTACATATTCTATTGCATGATTATTGGATGATAGATTGTTTAAACTCAAATTTTGTTTGTGGTAGGTTCATGAGAAGGACGTGATAGGTGTGAATCATCATCCTCATAGAAATCTCGTTGCTACTTATAGTGAAGACAACACAATGAAACTATGGAAGCCTTGACTATTTTACTTGTGCTATTATTTTAAGTTATAATTTTATTCATTTACCTCATTGGCAACTTACTTTTCTTGATAAACTGTGGCAGTATTTTGAAATGATGGTAATCCATGTATGAAATCTTCTGATGGTTTTGCCTGAGCATGCCCGTCTGTTGCAGAGTATCAAGATAAAATGGTAATTCCGATTTGTTAGAGAGCACAGTTAGCCTGATAAATCTATATGAGCTTCTTCCTACCTGGTCATGAGGAAGCTCTAATCTTCCGTAGGAGTTGAATCCTTAGATCAAATGGTTTTCATTGTCATGTTGTAGCTAATCACTAGGTGGCGTCTCTATTTAAAGCTGGGATTTGAATGAGGAACAAATATTGTCAGAAGTGGACAATTGTTACTTGAGTCAATAGTGGGGCAATATTTACAGAGTTCTCGTCTAAATCACAAGTGCAGTCTTCTCCTCGCGTTGCCCACTACCTGACTTCTAAATTGCTGGCTAGCAAGCCGTAATTGGTCTTCCTGCTTGGTCACTGCCTCTATATCACTGAATATGGTAATTAACATGTTGCTCCTACACCAATCCTACTTTATTTTTTCCCCTCAAAGTGGATTCGTTGAACAGCATTTGATCGGCAGGTTGAATTGTTTTATTTTCTTCCCTTCAGTCTGACGGAGTTTTGTAGTTCGATGTCCCGGTACTTAATGTTCTATGTGCTTTTTTATTTTTAATAGAATTCCAGAAAGAAAGTACCGAAAACTGCGTGGGCCTGATTCTTGAAAATTAATTGGGAGTTGGATGAACCAACAGCCTGGAGGATGAATGGACAGCCCGAGAACAATTTAGTATGAGTTGAAGTAAAAATAGTTTTTGTTTGTGGTATTTGGAACGTCATTTCTTCACACAATGTAAATTAAAATTTATTTTTTTAAAACTAAAACCAATGGTTTGATTGGTCTAAATTCATTAGTTAACAAGAGTAATTTTGAAATAACTGAAAGAATTAGGTAGGGTGAAAGACCCCTAAACCAAATCAAACTCTCGAACACAACCAATATTTTATGTAGGATTTAGCTGGCGGAAGTTCATTCGGAAAAGCAAAACTCCGTTTGCAAGTTAAGCACACTAGTCTTAAGTACTCATTCCATCATGGCAAGAGTGGTATTGAAATCATCAAATAAGCATGTATGCGCATTTATGAGATCCAGCTTCTCAACTTACTGTATCCACATGATAGGTCTGATCCACCCCAAAATAAATCAGACACAAAAGTGGCTAAGCTCAAACAAACCATGCACTCAGTCAACTTCCATTTTACAAAACAACGTTTAGATCTGATCACCCCCAGGAGTTGTTAGCAAAGGTGTGGGGGCTTGGGAATTGGTGATGCTGGGGAAGGCATCATGCGGCGGCTTCATTTACTGCATTGAAAGAGAACAGATGACTCCATTTATTACCTTCTCAACTACCAACTTCTCCCTCCCTATTAAACCCTTCACCTTCACCTTAGACTATATGAACGCTCGAGCAAGCTGATCAGTGATCCCATTAAGTAGAATTCTGATGGGAAATCTCAAGTACTGCTACAGTGTGGCTGTTGCTATGGGGATGTTGTTTATTGGCGCAAGTGTTGGGCAATTTGAAGGTGGTGGAAACGACCCATTCGCACAAGGTGGGGGGAGAAGGCCGGAGATGGTACCGGCCATGTTCATATTCGGAGACTCTCTCATTGACAACGGAAATAACAACAATCTTCCCTCTTTTGCCAAGGCCAACTATTTCCCCTACGGCATTGACTTCAATGGCGGTCCAACTGGGCGCTTCTCCAATGGCTACACTATGGTGGATGAAATCGGTATGCGCATCTAATCTACTGTTATTCCGTTTTAACACCAAGCCATGCATGTGGATATTATCTATAAAAGTGCTTGCATTGTAAATGCATATTCATGCAGCGATGCTGCTTGGACTCCCATTGGTCCCTGCCTTCTCTGAAGCTTCCGGAGCCCAATCTCTCCGCGGAGTTAATTACGCATCCGCTGCTGCAGGCATTCTTGACGCTACGGGAAGGAACTTTGTAAGTATCACATTACTCCTTTTGAACCTTACTTACTTGTAAACAGTGTTATTCATTTGGCATATGGGGATTTGATCAGGTGAGTCGCATACCTTTCAACCAACAAATCAGGAACTTCGAGAGCACGCTTGATCAGATCAGTAACAATCTAGGGGCCGTCAACGTGGGACAATCCATCGCACGGTGCATATTCTTTGTGGGAATGGGGAGCAACGACTATCTTAACAATTATCTTATGCCCAATTACGCCACTCGTAATCAGTATAATGCTCAGCAGTACGCGGACTTGTTGGTTAACCAGTACACGCAGCAGCTCACTGTCAGTACTCCATTTACAGCTTCTTTATTAGCTTTAAATTCCATCATATCAATATTTATGTCAATTTCATGCTGTGCAGAGGCTGTACAATCTGGGGGGCAGAAGGTTTGTGATTGCAGGGTTGGGGCTGATGGGGTGCATTCCAAGCATTTTGGCGCAGAGCGCAGCGGGGAGCTGTTCAGAAGAAGTGAACCAACTTGTTCGACCTTTCAATGTCAACGTGAAGAGCATGATAAGCCAGCTGAATACCAACCTTCCAGAAGCAAGATTTACATACATTGACATAGAGCGCATGTTCCAGGATATGCTTGTCAACTCTAGATTTTATGGGTTAAGCGTGCTGAACAGGGGATGCTGTGGAATTGGTAGGAACAGAGGCCAGATCACATGCCTCCCCTTCCAAACGCCCTGTACCAATCGAGACCAGTACATCTTTTGGGATGCATTTCATCCCACCGAAGCAGTAAACGTCCTTATGGCCCGAAAGGCTTTTAATGGCGACCAATCCGTTGTTTATCCTTTCAACATCCATCAGCTTGCCACTCTTTGAAGTTTATTCTTCTGAATTTACCTGTCTTTCTTTTTATAACCCTCAACGCCAGTGATGATGCATGCCACAATTTTCTTCAAGAAATTGCATCATTACTACTTTGTAGTGTCTTTCTAGAAAATGCAATACTGTTTCAGAGTTTATTTTCTACTTTCGTTCTGGCTTACGTTCAATCTTTTGCTATGCTATGGCTTTCTGTAAAATGAATCTAGTAATATTATTTACTACTACACGCTTTTAGAACAGGGGAAGGTTGCTTTTGCTTTTATGTATGTCAATAATAGAATCAAAATGGTTGAATTAAGAACAACATACGCTCTTTTAGTGAAATTTGAAAAGAAAAGAGATCGGACAGACAGAGTTAGTGGAAGTGGAAGCGTGGTCTATGCCAGGTTGAGAGCTGTCCACATGAGGCTGTCATGGCCCAATCCTTAGACCAAGAAGTTGCAGGGCGACTTTGTTCCCAGCTTTTTGTCTGACACAGAGATCTCCTCGAGGGCTTGTTGAGGGGTTATGGTGGTAGTTGCGTTAATGGATGAAAGTGGTTGGGAGAGAAGGCGGGGCTTTTGTGCATGTTGGAGTGAGAGGAAGATGACAACGGATTTTGTGGAGGATGTGTCAAATAAATTGAATAATAGATGGGTTTCTTGCAGAATGGGCGATGGGCTATTCATCTCGCGAGATTTGACGGAAAGCAAAGAAATTGGTTCCCATCCCACAACATTCAGATTTCAGTGTTTCAAATTCTAATGAAAAAAAAAAGGACAGCGCAGATCTGAGACATTTATGACACCACAAAATTGGAATGCAAGACTCACAGAAGTAGAGTTGAAGCTAATAAGATTGCCACTACTGTTTGTGATGTCGACAAGGTAGTTGGTTTGGTACAAAAATTCACCAACAGTTGGTGGACCTTTTTTTAAAAAAAAGAAAAAAACTCAATAATTTTGTTTCTGTAAATCAATGCAAGGGTGAATATCACAAATACATAGATAAAAGAACATGTATTTATCAAATTTTTATGGAATAATTTACGTAAAAAAACCTAACAGCACTAATTTAAATAGTTTTTAAGTTCAGAAAAATAATATTAATTTAGATAGTTTTCTATTCCATAAATTTGAGAAAACAACCAAATAAAAGGGATTTTCTAAAAAGGGTTGGAGAATGGGGAGGCGACTAGGGTTGGAGTGGCGTCCATATTTAAGAGCCCTCCACTATTTCAAACAGATTTTAGCGCCACACATCTGTGTCTGTTTTGAGGCAGAATGAAATTCGCGGTGAAGGCGTGGAGCAACTGCAAGGCGCGCACCGGATGTATACAGCTCGGAAACTGCCCTACCGCCATTGATACTCCTGCTTTACTTCTCTCTACTTGTAAAGGACTGCCTAATTTCATCTCTCCTGATCTTCTTCCGTCTCTCCCTTCCCCTGATTCTCACCTCCTCCAGTTCAGTCCTCTTCACTTGTAAGTATTCTACACTATTCCTACTCTTTCATCTCCATTCCGTCGTTCTCTTTTAATTCACTTTGTGTCGATGTTGTGATGAATCTGCTTATTCGCGTTCATTGTGCTTTTCAATTGGAGCGCCTCAGCCGGAGAGACTGCTCTACTTTGTTGCATTGATTTTCTTTTTATTTATTCGTTCTCTCACGTCGTAGGATTGTCTGTTTTGAGTACGTCTCGTGACCTGGAAACTATTCTACAGTCATGTGAATACGACTGGATAAAGCATGAGATCAGAAGTTCGTACTAAGTGATAATCGTATGATGCTTTTTGAAATGTTCTAGATTACTAAAACCAAGAGGAATGTGTCATGATGATTGCAGCTGATAGTACTATGTGTAGGAAAGTATGCTGGACGCAGGCTGTGTGTTTATGGAAATTGAAATGATTACTATGTCTGAGTTTGGGAAGCAACGACTACTTTACGTTGCCGCGACTTATGCCTTGGGCTCTTCCGAGATAGTTTATCGGTGGTTTTTCTGTAATCATTTGTATCCATGAAACAACTGTCAAGTAATTTATGGAATCCATTACTTTTATCTGTCTTTTGTCCTTGATTCAATTTCCATACTAGATAAATTTTTAACTCGTACATGACACGCTGTAATGAAAATTTGGTTCTCTTCAGAATTATAAAGTGAGTTCTACTTTTGTACTGGTAAGTGGTACATTAATTGATTCTGTACGTTGTTTCTTGATGTTGTTGGCGGTTTTTGTTCAGACACTTTATACTCCTGTTACAGCTGTCTTGACTCTGGTTTTATTTTCATGATTCCATCTTTTATTAATTAATCGGCTTTCCTTCACGGTGTAATCAAGAAATAAGTCCGGCAGAAAAGAAATAAAATGTTTCAATTATCACATGAAGATAGTCGTGTTTATTTGGTTTTTGGTTTCTTGTCAGCCACATTGACTTTTTAATCCTTAAATTCTTAGCTTGGAAGGTCCTTCATTGAAAGCGATATCAAGTATTGGAGGGCTACAGCATTTACTTGGGTTACATGAATATGTATTTGCAGCAGTAGCAAGGGATTCTGTTCAGTGCCTTCCAGAATGTAATGCTTCCAATAAATTTGGAGCATCTTTTGAGACTACTTGTGGTCGTCGTTTGGTAATGAGATTTCTGGTTTGGAAAATAAGTTTCTATGTTTGTGGTTGTTGTTTTGTATCAACTTCTGCTAGCCCTTCCATTACTATTTCGTTGGGAAAAGAAGTTTATGAGTTTGCATTGTAATTGTAGATAAGACCTGTTGAGTATGTTGAATTGATTTCGTCCATGAGACCAGACATTTGGGCCTCCTTGGCTGATGAAGTGCCATCGTGGGTTTCAGATAAAAGGAATAAAACATCAGTGGATCGAACTGTGAGATGGCTCGATGAATGCATCAAATTGAACTCAGTAAGAATGCTACAATGCCCCTTTTATGGTATTAGTTGAACTCTGCTAGATGTCGAATGTTGAGAAATGTAGGTCAAGTATGTTTGTGTGTTTTTAGACTTCAACTTGTGAATAGGTCCACGAAGAGAAAAGAAGCTGAGAAAAGCAGTAGACAAGAAATTTTACTGACGACTAAAAACTGCCTCCACGTTATGTCTGTGGGGACCATCTGGTTGTGCAATTCTATATGGAAATTTATAGCACGCAGTAATTAGATAGAGGAAAATGAAGCAGCTTAAAATGTGGACCATAATTTCCAAAGCAAGCTGGCGAAAGGAGGGAATAAGAATTCTGGTCTCTTTTAATTAGATAATGATGGCATAATTCTACAAATAAAATGAGGATATCATGAAAATATTTTAGTAATTCATCGAAAACCTGCTCATGGTTGGTGATTGTCGAATATATTCCGAATCGGAATATTGGAGTGATTGATTGGTAAGATTTTATTCACATTTTCTAGGAGTAGATTCCCAACTGTAAAAGGGTTAGGGTGCATAGTGTCTTGGCTAGATAGTACGGGTGAAGCTTTGAGACAAGGAGCATCTTAAAAAAATTGACTGGAATGTGGTTTCCTAATAGTATTTCGAAAGAGGTTGTTAACAAATACACAAATGAAACCAACATTTTCCCTATTCCTCTGGCTTATAATTAGAGCAGCCTCCGTTCATTTTGTTGTAACTTTAGTAACTTTTAGATCCTCCTAGATGAGTGTTGTTATGCGTTTGTTTTGAGGAACAAGGATTCTACCTCCCATACCTTTTGGTTTCATTCTCCTTCTATGTTGGGAATGAAGTTTTTATTTCTAACTAAAAACAAGAGTTTCTACCTCTTAGTTTTTGTGCCCAAAACAAGTTTCTTAAGTATTCTGTGCCAAATGGTTCCTCAGAGGTAAAATGCTCCGGATGTTATGGCTGATGACTTTTCAGTGCTTCCAGAGTATCATTCTTATGGCTTTCAGAATTCCCTCAAAAACAAGAGCGTTGGGCCATATACATTCAGTAAAATAAGTAAATGTTGATTCTTACAATTTCTAGAGTGCATGTGATGTCCACATTGGTTGGGGAGGAGAACAAATCACCATTTATAAGAGTGTGGAAACCTTCCCTTAGCAGACGCGTTTCAAAGCCTTGAGGGGAAGCCCGAAAGGGAAAGCCCAAAGAGGACAATATCTGCTAGCGGTGGGCCTGGGTTGTTACAAATGGTATCAGAGCCAGTCACCGGATGATGTGCCGGCCTTCTCGCTGTTCACCGAAGGGGGGTAGACATGAGGCGGTGTGCCAGTAAGGACGCTGGGCCCCAAAGGGGGTGGATTTGGGAGCGGTCCCATATCGATTGGATAAAGGAACGAGTGTCAGCGAGGACGCTGGACCCCGAAGGGGGGTGGATTGTGATGTCCCACATTGGTTGGGGAGGAGAACAAATCACCATTTATAAGGATGTGGAAACCTTCCCTTAGCAAACGCGTTTCAAAGCCTTGAGGGGAAGCCCGAAAGGGAAAGCTCAAAGAGGACAATATCTGCTAGCGGTGGGCCTGGATTGTTACAGTGCATCTTATGTTATATGACTGTTTTGTTTAGGACTCATCGAAGAAAAAGCAATATGAAAACCCTGTCATGATCAAGTGATAGTATTTAGTTTTTTTGTCTAGATTTGGTGCTTTTTACATTTTTCTTTGCCTAATAATGTCACGAGTGATTTGGAACAATCAATTTATTATTATAATGAAGACAGGTGGGGCTATTTTTGGAGCTATTGTTGGAGGCAATGATATGGAAGAACGCCAAAGATGTGCTTTAGAGGTGGTTAAGCGTAATGTATCAGGTTCAATAACTTTTTCTTTGATATATAAAGGTGAAATAGTGTCAAGATTCGTAGCTTGAGAACTAATTTTGAGCAATATCAATTTTTAGCATCTCCAAAAATTTGTTTAGGCTATCAGAGCTCTGAACAGCCAGTTTGTATCATGTCTTTAAACACAACATGTTTTTAAATCATTAGCATACAAATAAAATTTTGAACAGAATGCCAATGTTTTCGTTCCTCTGATTCTCGTCATAACACCCCTGACCCTCTCTCGTATGTAAGGGATGATTATTGTCCCTGGCTTCCCACATAAATGTTTCTCAACTCTAGTTTGTTCAGTTAAATCTATCATTTCTATCTTTGCTTCCAATTTCTTGTTCTAATTTCTCAGTTTCATCAAAAAAAATTTGGTAGGTTATTGGATTGGAGGTTTTGGGCTTGGAGAGAGCATAGATGAGCGTCCTGCCCTACTTGATGCTGTTACGGTAATAATTTGGCTTATAAAATTGTTAGGTTAGTCTTTTAGGCGTCCCGGTCCATTTCTTGCACCAACTGGGGTGTGGATGGTTTGCATGCGAACCCTACTAGTTAATGAGTTGAACTTTGAATCTTAATAGGTAGCAAGTTGGATTTGTTTGTGTATACCTTTCTTTGTTTAACAATTCTTTGGACCTTGCTCTTGTTTTTTGAAGTTTTTTTTCCTTTTATCATTACTTTCAACCCTTGATGAATTTTTTCCCCTAACAAAATAAAAAAGGTAACTGCGCTGTGATCGATTCCCTTTACTTCCATATCCCTTTTCTGTCTCTTTCTCCCCGTCATTTCCTGCACTCTCCATGTGTGTATGTCTGTATATATATATGTGTGTGTGTGTGTGTATTATCTTTATCATCTGCCTTCCAAGTACCTCAATTCAATGCTCTGTTTCTGTGATGTCCATTTTTTATTCTACATTTTCTCCCATGAGTTGTGAAGCAAAAGCATCATAAACCATATCAGAATTTATCTTTTTTGAAAAAGAAGCGTGCTTCTGGTAATTTGTTTCATTGTTTGGACAGGATGTCTTACCAGAGGAATTGCCACGCATGATATGTGGGCTCGGACTTCCAGGTATAGTTTTTCAATCTTCTAGGTTGAGTTGCTTGACGTATACATCCTGTTTCGACTTTTGATTGGATTTCTGTGTCCAGCCTATGGAAGCTGAAAATAGATATTTTTAATATTTTTTGTAGCTTGTGACTAAGAATTTTGGTTCAATCATTTTTGTCACTCTTTATGATGACCACGTAGTGCATTTTGTCATTGTCGCTTGTCAATCAAATTAGTTTTATTAAATATTACTATAGTCTATATACACACACATAACGTAACCTCAAAGTTCCAAATCTGTACTTTGAGCTTCTGTAGTTTATAAATTAGTGAATTCTTCACTTGAATCAATGAAATAGGCATCAAATGTGAGCTCAATATCATAACCATAGACTATACAACTCAATTAGTTAGCTACCCCTGATAAAATGTTGGATGGCATCTAACCAATTAGAGGTTTAATCGTTCATCTTGGTTGACCCATCCTATGATTAATCCACCAAGTTTTCTATTTTACATTGGTTCTCGCTTCAAACAATAATTTGTTTGGATATATGTTTTCTTTGATGTTGCAGAGGAGATCTTGCAGGGTATCGCTGCTGGAGTCGATCTCTTTGACTCTGCGTATGCTATCCATTTTGAATATGGTTTATCTTTCTGTGATTGTCATTGCTGAATGAGCTCTATAAATAGTTTAGTTACTGTGTTGCAGGTACATATATCACTTGACCCTTGGAGGCTTTGCTCTCACCTTCCCACTGAATGGAATTGCGGAGAAACGGCCTGACACGCACCTGAACGACGATGCAAGTGATCGGACAAAAATCAACTTAAGAGCAACACTTTATCGGTAAGTTTGACAATACTTCAGTCTATTCATGCTTGGTATTGATTTGGCAATATTTAATTCCTTATTATCTAATCGTAGATCCTAATTTGCATTGTTATATTTGCTAAAAATGGGTTATTTGTTTCGTTCAGGAAAGATACATCACCAATTCTCGAGGGGTGTAACTGCTACGCTTGCCTGAATCATACCAAGGCTTATATAAATCATTTGCTAAATGTCCACGAAATGCTGGCTCAGATACTGCTGGAGATGTATGAACATTTGACTACTTAGAAAATATTTAGTCGTCTGTCTCTAAATGCATTCTCACAGTAATGGTTCTCATCCTATTGCAGACATAATACTCATCATTATTTAGGATTCTTTCGATCAATCAGAGAAGCAATCAAGGCAGGCAAATTTCAGCAATATCATCAGAAATTCGTTGAGGGTAGGCGCAATCATCTAGCCCTGCCAGCCGCAGCAATCACTCATGACGAGCTCATCAAATAAGTAATTTGAATATTGCCAACAATGTTTTGTTTTACCGAACAATTTTATCAACTGATCATACTATTTATTAGGGGCAAGTACAACTGGTCACTCTAAATTTTCATCCTCACAATTCCCTCGTTTGTAGGATCTAATTGAAGATATGGTCTATCTAGCATTCAAGTTCTTCTGTTGATCCTGTAAATCTAATATTACATTCAACTTACTCATCAATAGGGATTTAGGACATAATATTTAAGAATGCAATCAATACCCTTGCTTTCTTCTTGTACAAAAATATATTTGCGACTATAAAAGCTTGTTTGGCAAAGACTTGTATTGCTTCACAGGTAAGGCATGTAATGGTATCAGACGCCAAAATTGCAGGGTGGCTGCAGAACATGTCTAGAATATGAGACAAAATCTGCTTGTAGATGCCAGTTTCAATACCAGTACTGGGATCGACAAAATAAGGTACCTGATATTTCGGGTTTAGATATTTAAAACAATGGAGGTAACAGTAAACATGCAATATATATAGCCGACTGAAGTAAATATGACAGACATCATATAACGTAAAACCAACTAGAGCATAGTTTGACAGTCTTGAGGCATTTTGATTTGGATGGATCAACTCAAACAAATTTTAGAACTAAAAAGTTAATCAATTCATAAAGTTTAATAAGTTGATAGGCAGGGAATGAGTTCAAACTATAGTGATTACCTATTTGAGACTTGATATATACGTATAAAAACTCACCTAAGGCAATGAGAGAAATAACATAACCTCAAGAGCAATGAGATATTCATTTCCTAAAAAGCACATGAATTGAGGGGGAAAGGGGGAAAAAATACGGAAAGGACTCTTGTATTAGTTTGCACGAACAATCTTCATTCTCGTATCATCTCAAGATGAGTAGGTTAGTATGATCAGATCGCATTAAGTGTAAGGGGGTGTTAAGGTTACAAGGTACTCAATATCGAATTCAATTTCTTGTAGGATTCTTGGACCTAAGGTGTTACACATGGTATCACAAAGGAATCTCTCCTCGTACGATGTGGTTTAGAAACGAACTAAAGTAGATGTTAGTTGGCATGTGACGCTCGACTCGTGCTCAAACTCCTGTAATTTCATTTACTCTCCCATTAATATTGATTTTTATTTGTTGAACCTTTTACAAATTTTCAAACTAACTACAACAAACTAAAGTAAAAAAGAAAAGTTGAAGTTTGATAGAATTAAATTTAGGTCAAATTATAAGTTTTTAGTAAAACTAAATTTATAATTTGATATCTACGTGTTGTTCAAACTATGGTGATTACGTATTTAAGATTTGATATCTACGTGTTTCCATGTCAAAAAAATGTCTTAAGAGTTGCGTTATAAAATCCACCGTGACAATGAGGGAAATACATAACCTCAAGAGCATGGAGATATTCAGACGGAAATCAAATAGCAAACCTCTTTCGATCCGGAGATGTTGAGAACTAACTTTGTCCGTTATGATCCTTCTCCCACGTTTATGAAAGATGCAAGGAAGGTCCAGCTCTCACAATGCCTCGCGCACACTTCGAGTATACTGGAAAGTTTATCCATATTTGTATTATAACAAAACACTACAATATATTAGCGTTGAGCATTCATTCATCCATTTACATTCTTCAACCAAAATATAAGCAGAGAGAGTAACAATGTTGGGAAATTAAAATAAACAAATAAGATCTGATTCAATCCTACGGTGTGAGAGTGTAAAATATTCATGCTACTTATCTGGATACTCAGCATATTCAAGTGGTTTTTTTTTTTTTTTTTTTCCTAATATAAGAAACGAACTTCATTGAAGCATTTTAAGCAGTATTAACACAGTGCTTACCCAACCAACTATTATCCAGTTTCAAAATTCCAACCTAATAGACCCTAACTACGAAAAACGGACCACCGGATTTATGAAGCTGACGGAAAAGAACAATAAAACAGAGTTAACTTGGCTGTGCTAATAACACGGGTTCTCTCCGCTACCTACTTTTAAACATTACTATAACGAATCATGGCGAAGGTAATCTAGTGATGTTATAGATGAAACTGAAAAGGTGAGATAAACAGGGTACAGGTATATGTAATATAGGGAGGATAGCCCATCAGCATACCAGGTTGTTCTCGTATGAGAAAAGTTGCAACTTTCTGGGTGGTGGGTCTGTTGAGGCAGTTCCCTATGAATGGATATTCACACTGCACACTATATCCACGATGGCGGACAACTCTGTTTCAACAAGTGGAAATTGGAAACTTGTTACAGAAATAATTGCGTCGTAGAGCTTCAGGATGCAACAAAAAACCAGTTTTTTTATGTATCTTTTCCATTCATTTAAGACAAATAAAAGCTAAATATCAAACCAATCTTCAAAGAAAATGCGTTCCAAATAAAACTGCATCCATTTGCATGAAATAAATTATTTTTAGGTACCAGGATGATTTTACAGAGTAAAATGGAGGAGAGGTGGCCATAAAGTCAACAGCTCAAGCTTTAAATAGATTTATATATAGGATATTGGTGCAACAAAAAATAGCTCGACCAAATTCATCGCGAAACTGCATTCCTTTTTGTAACCAACTCAATAAGCCACTTTGACTCTTCATATCTTCCTAGTAAACTCCATAGAAATTTAACTCCTCCATGCGTAACATATATTTTGTTCCAATATAACCTATGTAATTCAATAAAGGTTAAACCCCAAGCTATAAGAAGATAGTGTTGTTTTGGCCTCCGACATATGATAACTGCATAATCAGAAAGACACGTTACCAAATTAATATTCCTCCTGCTGAGAGAACTAACCGACACTGTTCTTGAGCCCCATAGAAGTCTTGCCAATGAAGAGAAGGAAAATGTGGCTACCTTCTCTTTAGCAACAAGATGAGAGACATCATATAAGGATAAGAGGTTACTGATATGAGCAATTTCCTGACCAGAACCAGATAAATACTTATTTTACCCTAACTTTTTTTTTTATTATTATTATTATTTTTTAATATCCATGAGTGTCCGGCCAACTTGTGGTGGACCTTGACTAATCTCTCGGGACAATTGTTTGATTCTATTACATTTGATTGTCAAGGCAAGTCTTTCAATCATAGTTTTAGAGATGCTAGAATGTAAGCATTGGCAAAAACTTGATTTCCACGACAGAAAATTATGTAAGCAGGATAAAAGAATATAGCAAAGTAGATAGGCTAAATCTTATTAATCCTATGTGTCTATCAGTCTGTCATCTCTGCGCGATTATGTAATTAACATTAACAAAGTAGTTCTAGGTCTACCGCGCACAACTGTTGGTTCCATTTAATTGCATTGATATGACATATAATCTTTGCAACTGTATCTGTTTAAAATATGTTCCACACCGGAATTGCATATTGTAGAACAAACTAGTTAAAGGAGGATATCAAGTAAAAATACCAGATGAAACACAAAAATAAAGACACATATTGAGCTGGAAAAAAAGAAACAATCCGGAGAGCTGGTTAGAATGAAATAAAGAGCGGATCACCTCCCTAAAACTTTTAAAAAATACATATGAAAATGAAGATTAATATCATGAGGATGTAAAATGAAGAATACGAGTAACTCGCGACAGTTCTCGGAGTCTTTTGGTGGATATCAATATCAAGTAATCAAGGCAACTTCATCAGAAGTGCTAATTCAAAATCATGTAAACGCGCAAATTTATATATACTTACTCACAGCGAAAAGCTTGAGCAAAAGGCAGAGATAAGATAGAAAACTTGTAGAAAGGTTGGTTCCATTGCTCGAAAACTGCATTATTTTCACGCGAATGCTGAGCTCGAGCTCTTCAGTTTCAGGTTCTGAGCGAACAGAGTTCATGTAGAAATTCTCACCAATGTTGCAGAAATCGGAAAGAGATTCCGATTCAGGAGGCCGGATGCCATTGCTTGGTTGAAGCTCCGTTCGGCACGTCGATCGTAGAGCAGTGGAGAGAGGAATAATGTGAGGTAGGTTAATTGGCTTGGAACTGCCGTATTCTTTTATATGAATTAATAGTGCGAGAATTGACTTCGTCTCTTTATTTATTTTTTGTTAAATAATAATAATTGGCGATATTTCTAAAATTTAACGAAAAATAAATTTAAAATTTAAAGTATCGATTAAAAAAGTATTTTAAGTGAGAAAGAGTCACGGATCTACATATTTTGGAGTTACTTTCAAAGAAACAAGCATAAACCTCCACGATGAAAAAAATATGGAAATATTAATTCATTAGGGAATAATATATTTTAATCAATTTATTATAAATATTATTAATTTATGTTAACCATTATGATTAATTATTTATGGATTGATCCTATTACTAGAGTTGAATGTAAATAATTGACCCAGATACTCTACTTGTGATTGAATTGTTTGTGTGTCACTAAAATATTGAAATAAATAATTTTAAGGATTGAAATGAAAAGAAATAAAAAAAAATTGTAAATTGAATCCTAGAAGACAAGAGGATGTCCAAGTGAACAAAAGAATGAAAAAAAGGAAAAGAGGCAAGACAGCTAAGCAATTTCCCTCCCAGAAAAAAAAAATGGAAAGAAATTAAAGTATCTACAAACGAAAAGGCGAAAAGGTTAAGAGAAAATCTTGTAGGACTTGAATGAAAGAATAATCTGGCGAAGTCCCCCAATGGGCGTCAAAACTGCAATCGACACTCCAATGATCGTCGCCGTCTGCAGATCCAAAACCCCCAAATTCGTAAATAAAGTAAAATGAAACGAAATAAAATAAAATAGCTTCCCCACAAATTTTATTACGTACCCAAGATGCAATCCAGTGGAAGCTCCATGGCTTGGGTCGTTTAATTATCAACCACATGATGCAAGGCACCTGCCATGATTCAAATAAATCATTATTTATTTATTTAAAAATAAAAATAATAAAAATAATTAAAACCTTACAAAATATGAGGTGGCAGCAAACACTAATCCCCCGAAGAATCCCAGTAGTCCTCCAAAAAATGGAATGCACATCCCCACAAATCCTACTAATGCTGTGGAAGCCCATACACTCCGATTAATTATTTTTAAACAAAAATTGATTCCATTTCAGTTAGAATGTACTTACCAACGTAACTGCTGCGGGCAATGAGTCGCAGTGCTCGACTTGGCTTGAACCGGTAGCTTCCTACTAAAGCCGATTCTATGGTGTCGAACACGGGCATTGCGAATACCTAGGAGGAGTAACACAATGTTATTTTAGAAATTAAAAAGAAAAATTAAATTAAATAACACACTAACCTGGTAGCTTCCAATGACGTGCAGAAAAACCATGAAGTTGGCAGCAGCTATCAGCCACTTGGGGTTCTCCAGGGAAACAAGAACGTCGTCGTCCACAGCGATCCCAAACGCCCAATATCCGGATATGGAAACCGAGATGTAGCAGATGGCAACAATCACGTAAGCCACCGTAACCCCACGCCACATCGGCACCTTCGACGGCTTCTCTTCCGTAGACGGAATGGTGGCTTGTATTTCCAAAACCACGCTGTGCCCCGCAAATGCGAACGCGATGGTCCCAATTCCGTTCAAAGCATCGAAGGCCTGGCCGGGGGCGGTGTGGGATCGAACCCCGTACGTGACTTGGAGGGAGTGGTGGTCCTCGTTTCCTTTGATGAAGGATGCAACGCAAGCCACCATGGAGTAGGCGAAGGACATGATTGCAGCAAGTAGAGACACTCCTTTCAGGGAGTTGAAATTCGGGCTTTGGGACATCACCAGTTGAAGCACCGTGAAGAACAAGATGAAGTACGTCTCTCGGATTTCATCGAACGTGTCCGGAAACACAAGCTCGCACGACTTTTTCAGGGACTTGCCCCCGGTCACAGCGTACACAATGCTGGAAGCTACCTGAACAGTGAGTTGGAGGGGCATTATGGTCCAGTACCCAAGCTTGGGTCCGAACGCGTACATCCCGAGCTCCGGGTATCGGTCAAACCGCCGCCCGGGAGCCACCTCGTGCAACTGCACCAGCTGCCACAGCGAGTAGAACGTGATAATCCAAGACAGCACAATCGCCGTCACTCCAGGGGCCCTATATGCAATATGCAATATATATATATCATATCAACAACTTAAATTAAAATCCAATCATGTCATCTCAACTACCTATCTATCTACAAATGCATAAAACAACAAACCATCCAAGCTGAGACACGGCAAAGGGCAGGCCGAGCACCCCCGCGCCCACCATGGCGGTGACATTGTGAAAAGCGGAGTACCACCACTTGGCTTTCCTGGAGGCGGTGATGGGCAGCCAGTTGTTAAGTTGGGCATGGGGCTTGTCTTCTTCGGGTGGCGTCGTGGAATGGGTGGCCTGATCGGGATGAATTTCTTCATGGCTTTGGATATTGTTCTCTGGATCCTGCGATACAATAAGGCACATTGAAAATATATAAACAATGAAAGGGAAAGCGAGATAGAGGGTGAGAGGTACCATTTGGAAGGTGAAGGAGGAAAGGGCTGTAGTGTTTGAATTGAGATGGAAGAGTATGGGATGGGGGTGTATGTATATATATATCTGCTAGTGTTTGTGTGCGGTGGGAGACAGGTTTGAGAGTGGATAAAGCGTTGATTCGGAGATCCTAGAATCGCGTTGTTGTTGTTGTTGTTGGTTTTTTTTTTTTTTTTTTGAACCATTCCTCGTTTTCCACAACCTTAAATCTGTATGTTTCATCTCATGTTTCAGATCCTAACGCGAAGCCTTTGGGAACTCAGATATGGATAATTGTCTCTTTTCTTTTTTTGGTTCTTCAAACCTTCTTGTCCATGTATTCTATTTCGTCATGTTTCCCACGTTTTTCTGCTTCCTTTTCTATTCTTTTTCTCTTCTTTTCTTTTCTTCATGACATATGTTTTTCTTAGTATGATATACAGATGGAACGTTAAATAAAATACGTAAGATGCATAAGCTACTTTAAGTTGACACTAAATCATTTAATTGTTTTATTAGTGATGTAAGTAGATTTAGCATAAGGTACTAAATTGTTTGTTAGCTCAGTAGGTTGTGTTATTTTATGTTGCTTTTATATATATACATATGTATATTAATAAAAATGTTGTTTTGTGATATTTGATGATTGGAAAGTATGTCAAGTTATGTTAAGTTTCTATTATTTTATCTTTTTCATAATTTCTGTTATTAATAAAAATTAGTGAAGCATATTTGGGCTAAATATGACATTTTTTACGGTTGCTCGTGTGGCGTACGGCAACGAGACAACTCGGTCATCAATAACAGTCGTGATTAATAGTGACGATGATGACACAATGAGCGCCAATGAAATCAATATGAATCAAAGACTGACAAAATGAATGACGCTCGAGAACCAGGACATATACAAACAAAGCAGACAATCATTGATTTTGTGGAGGAGCAGAGGTCCGAGTGTCACTGCGAGATGAGTTAGGTGCAGCAACAAACCTGAGCTGCGGGTTGGAAGACATCAGGCGGACAAGCAAGGAAGATCATAGAGAGAGAATAAAAAATGTTTCCCATAGCTTATGGAGTGATTTTAGTTTGATATCTTCAATTAACAAAGGGAAATAAAAATAAATATAAGAGTATCTAAATTATGACGTAGGTAGGAAGGGCTGGGAGCATTAATTAATGTAGAAAAAGAAGCATATGGTGACACAAAAATTCCAATTTTCACACATCAAATTGTTGTTCCAGTCAAACCAAATTAGGAAAACCCGTCCCTCTCAGCTGATGATATAAATTAGATAAATAAAGATGCGTATAGAAATATTTGAATCTACCTACTTTTTTGGTAACCACTTGGGAGTTGGGGGCTTTGTGCTTTTACATTAGGCTTGCACTACCTTCCGGAATTTGGTTCTCAGTTTGGAGAAAAAAAAGAAAAGAAAAGAAAAGAGACACGTGCATTAATAAATCTTTCTATTATTATCTTTTAATCACGTGCACTCTCAATGTATTTTTGACCAATTCTTTATATATTTTTATAATAAAATAATAATAATCAGTGTATTTATTATTTAATTGGTGACTCGGTCTGGAGACCTGCAGCTTGAGGCCCACAGTAATAAACCACTTTTAATTCCAACTCATTTGTGTTCCACAGTAATAAACCACTTTTAATTCCAACTCATTTGTGTTCATAATATCTTTCACAGTACAAAATTAAATGGGAGGCAGGGGGAAGCAGATGATGGCGGTGATTGGACGGAAGGGATGACGTGGAGTTTGCATCAAATTAAATGGTTCAACACGTTTATTGTTGGCGGAGCGGAGGGAGGCGGGAGACACATTTTTCCTTCCCATCCCAGCCCATTCTAATTTCTAATATTAATTTTTATTATTTTATTCAATCTCTGTACATATATATACTTTTGACTTTGACTTTGAAAATTTTGACCAATAGCAATCCTATTGGATATGCTGCAATACTAGTATATTCAATTCACCAAATTTAGCAATTGACTTTCCTCTTCGATTTCAACCTATAAAAACCAAAAACTTTCTTCCTCTTTCCCATCACTTCCCTCCTCCTTTACCTCCAGCTTCCACTCCACAAGTATATCCATCCATTGTCAACTCAATTCATCTTATCATGGCTTCTAATTCCAACACTGGTCCTCCCGAGACAAAGAAATACAAGGGCGTACGACGGCGTAAGTGGGGGAAGTGGGTGTCAGAGATTCGAGTTCCGGGCACACAAGAGCGCATGTGGCTTGGTTCTTACTCGTCGCCGGAGGCTGCCGCCGTGGCTCACGACGTCGCATATTATTGCCTGAGAAGACCCTCAAACCTCGACCACCTCAACTTCCCGCCCATGGTTCTGCCCTTGACCAACCACCTCCTTATCCGAGACGACATGTCGCCTGGCTCCATTCAGAAGGCAGCCTCCGACGCTGCCATGGCCGTCGATGCGCAGTATATATGCAACAGCTCGCCTGATCGGGGCAGCAGCGGTGGGACAGGGGCATTTCACGGATCAGGATACGAGAGCTATACTGCGATGAATGATCAAGATCGAGATCGAGATATTTCCATCGAAGATTATCTGTGAGCGTCAATTTGATCATTGGTGATTAACGGCGGGGATCTTATGATAGTTTTATCGAATAGTGATCAATTTTTCATTAAGACTTCCGTCGGGGCCGGGCAGGATCTCCACCTTTCCATGATTTAAAGTGGACTCGAGAGATTAAATTGTATTAAATATATAAATTAAATTAAAATATCGGAAATTGTGGTCGTACCCTAAGAAATAAGAACATGAATGGTTGTGCTATAAAAGCTAGAAACAAAGATACTGAATTTAGTACGCAGAAAAGGATTCTCTTGAAATTAATAAAAATTAAATATCATATATATTTAAAATTCAAAGCTCTCCCTTTCTAATATTATTACGCGAGCTGTGTATTAAAATTTGATAAAAATGATGGAAAAATGAAAGTGAGTGGATGGGAAAATGGACGGTGCCATACAGAAACAATGGTGTCGTCAAAGCCAAGAATTTCGGTGTGAATACGAACAAAATTCAAACTTCAAACTTGGAGCTGCATTAATAACAGTGACGAGGCAAGGTTTTTGTTTTTGTTTCTTTCTGAAACGTGGGTCGACTCACCATGGTCGTGGACCATTAAATTATTTACATTAATTAAACTATTTATTTCGTATGTAACAAAAGCTGGAATAGCTCAGTTGGTTAGAGCGTGTGGCTGTTAACCACAAGGTCGGAGGTTCAAGCCCTCCTTCTAGCGTTTTTAATCACCAAGTTTTTGTTAATTTTATATTCAGGTTTTTAGTACAGAAAATGAAATAAATTATCTATCTACATCATGAAACCACTTAATTCTAACACTTCCTCTAAGATTTTGATCATCAAAATCCTAACAAAACTGATTAAAAACAAATCAGTATTAATATATTTATTAGTTTAAGGTCACTTGAATGGAATAGGATTAAAGGAAAAAAAAGTGAAGCCACATCTCATAAACAAAGTATGCATTTCAGGAAAGTGGAGACTACCCTCGTGTAAAACAAATTTGGTTACTGTAGTTGTAAAAATAAATAAAGTATTCTTCAAAACAAACAAAATAGTAAGCAGATAAAATTATTTTTTTATCGACAAAAAAAATTATAACTATAATCGGACGCAGACAGATTCTTGGGCTATTGAATCAAGCAAATGCGAACAGATTGACTGCAGTATACTCTACATAAATTACATTTATAAATAGCTATAGAAGAGCGTTGCTGTGCTTAGAAAGGGATGATGCGTTCTAAATTTCAAAAGCGAGCTAACTTCTGTACATTTGGCTTCCAGCTTTTTATGGCTTTTAGCTTAACTTCGATTACGCATTTGAGCTCAGAATTTTGAGTGTTCCTTGAAATAAATAGGTAGCTACATATCTTGCTTGGGCCTTCTGCTCAACTCTGAATAGTGACCACCCATTAACTGCAAAATCTCCTCCCAGAGTCCCTCTGATGTGGCGCCACTAATTAGATTTGAGCTACAAGCAGCCACATGCCAGTAATCTGATTCAATCTCCTCCCTCAATTGATCCAGTTGCCACCCAGCATAGCCCACAAAGAATCTGAAGTCCTGAGGCTTAAGGATTCCCTTCTTCACCAGCACTGCAGCTTCATCAAGGCTGTTTCGAGCGCCAAAGCAGAGGCCTGGGATCACTTCTTCGAACCCATGGAGTTTCAATTTTTCTCCTGTTTTCATCAAAAACATGCTCGCCTCAACAGGCCCTCCAAAGTGTAGAGAGCAATCAGAGAATGTAGTTGCTAAGTCAAGATTGGTTGGATTCATATGCTTGATCTTTTTGTGGAGCGGGGAATTAATCACAACCCCAAATGGCCCCTCCTCAGGATGTCTGTTTCCACATCTGAGGAGAAGAATGACTGTTCGCTCAAAACTGCGAACACCCTCCAACTTCTCTGTGGCCACAAGGACACACCCAGTCTCAGGCACAGGAATGGGATGTGCCCACTTCAGGCCCAGAGGCCTACACTCGTGAGCGTCACCCTTTGCATTTTCCACCTTCTCTGCCTGCAAATAATTCACACCACACAAGAATAGTGCATTGGATGATCAAGGAGTTTACATTTCTTTCATTCACCCTGTTTTGTCTGCATTTATGTTCTTCACCTATCCTACCTCATGAAACCAGGTAACATCATAATCTTCTAATGCAACAAAAGATAAGCTTTAGGCGTGTATGCGAGGGTTTCTACCCTAGGGAACTAAAAACGCGGTATCTCATAATTACCAGATTATACCCATTTCCTATTAGGAGTATGATCAAATTCTGTAAAAGCATCATAAATCACCTGCTCACGAGCGAATAGGTTTGCTCTGAATTCCCTCCAGTCCAAATTAATATGATGTGATTTTTGGGAAGAAGATTCATTAGTTTTGTTGGCATCAGAAATGTTGTTTGATTTAGCGTCATCTCCAGGTACCGAATGGTCACCATGTCCTGCACTTACGAAAGAAAAACAAAAAATGATATTTCTCACGGTGGGCACAGATAACAAATATTAAAACGGTTTCCAAAAAGCACTTTATATTCAGGAACAAAAAAAAGAAAAAAAAAGAAAAAAGAAAGAAACTGATACAGAATCATACAAATGTTATTGGGAAAATCCAATGCCCTGATTTTAGGTTTCAAGCTTACATATACAATTCTACAGTCAGTATTACATCCCAATTCCCAAGCAGAGCAAAAGGGCAAATATCGTAATGCCAGGGAAATGTGAAAAGAAACTCGGAATCCGAATCAAAGAAGAAGAGATTAAGAATTCTGGAAGAAGAAAAGTACCAGGAGAGGGAGAATTGTCGCGATTGTTCTTGGCAACCGGTGTGACCAGAAATGAGCGAGAAGCAGAAGGCCTGAAAAGTGGGATCTCAAGCAGGCGCAGAAGATGAGCGCCAAAGAGATGTGAAGAGGAAAATCTCCTCGTAGTCTTCGGCAAGCTGGGAGAAATGGGTTGTTTGAGTGAGAAGGTGGCGGTGTTCTTGAGATTTGCAGTGCAGAGATCCATATCCGAAACGATTTTGCTGGGGGAATTAGACACGAGTGTGGGAAGGAATGATGATCCAATCCAGAGCAGAGGAAAATAACAGGTGGGAAAAAGGAAAAGAAATAGAATATTATGGCGAGACGATATAATGTTGAAGATTAAAGGCAAACAATGAGCAGCCAAAAGTTGAGGTCAAAATTATAGCAGGGCGCCGAGAGAATATGCCATAGTTTAAGGGAATCATGTCGCCGAATAATTTCTCATGTGGCCTTTTGTTGGGTGCCATAATAAATGAAGCTTCAGTTAGTGTTATTGATTCAACCCAATCTATTTAAAGACCTTACATATATTAAATTATAATTTGGAAATAAAAATTTAATTACGTGATGATATTAGGGTAAAGATGTTTCTTCAACCAAATTCCCGCGACGATTGCAAGAGCCAGAAAAGTTTTCCACGAAAAAACCAAACGACTACAGAACAAAAATAATGGGAACTTTTTAATTTCAAGTTAACCACCGTGCCGGTGCGGTTGCGTCTGTCACCGCCTGTATCCAACCCTACCAGAAGCCGAAGCCACAGCCACACTGCTTTTTCTCACCGAATCTGTCTCCGCTATTCCCTTGGATCGAACATGCAAGGCAATGGTCTCAATGGCTTTTGATTCCCATCTTCTCCAGCAGCCGTCTGGAACCTGACGTGGTCCCATGTAATTCCAGCCCCTCTACATTGTGCTTGCTGAAGCCCATTTATTGAACCCTACCAGCCAAACCCTGTTTCGCCATTCCTTTCAAGTTAGAATCAGATTTCTCTGCAGGCTGGCGTGTGTGATACTTCATTTGGGTGCCTTCTGTTTCTCGTCATCGTAATTGTTTGTTTCGTTATGTGGCTGTGTGCTTCTAGGATCTTGAAGGATTTTAGCTGGGTGTTGGATTCAAGTCATAGTTGACCATTTTCTTGACGGAAGCAAATTCACTAAATCCTCTGAGCTAACCTGTCCTGTAATTGCTTCGGAGCCTCTTTCTTAGTGATAGGTTCCGAGGCAAAAATTATTCGATCAGGCGCCAAAATGGATGTCAAATAGTTCGAAAGATATGGTTGGCGGTGACATGTTGTCTTTGGCAGCTATAGGTTCTTCTGAAGTTTCAGAAGCGTCCCCTGATTCGCTAAAGAACACGCCCTCTAACATTGCAAAATTGGAGGATGTCATCGAGCACTGCGAAGGTAGGCAGAAGTATCTTGCACAGACAAGGAGTCCTTCCGACGGCGGCGATGTTCGCTGGTATTTCTGTGAAGTACCTTTGCTTGGGAATGGTGAGCGCTTTTCATTTTTTTCATCTTTAATGGTATGTTTTCGAATGCGACCTGGGCAAAATTGATGAACAAAGTAGAAAACGAAGGTGAAAATAACCGATGCAAACTTCTTGAGAGTTTAACGACGAATCATATTTGAGGATATACTGAGAAGCCTGTTTTAGGAAGACATAATTCAAAGGATTTATCCATCCATTGCCTTCCTTATAAACTTCTGCACCTATAAATACGTATATATTTTGTTTATCTTTTCTATTTTGAAATAATTAAAGGGCTTTCAAATATATTTTGTTTATCTTTTCTATTTTGAAATAAATACGTATATATTCATCTTATGAAGGTTTCCTTCTATTCTTGTCAAAGGGCTTTCAAACCTTTTGATGACTTTCTGCTGCTTGTGTTTCAACAGAGCTAGCAGCATCAGTTCCTAAGACTGAAATAGTTGGGAAGGGTGACTATTTTCGATTTGGCATGAGGGATTCTCTTGCAATAGAGGCATCTTTCTTGCAGGTGTATTTTTCGACCTCTTGGGTAGTCAGTTGATGCTTATGTTCACCCATATTTCATGAATTGCTTGTAGTGAACTATCTTGTATTTACCTTCGACAATATTTTTAACTCATGAAATTGTCTTCCCACTCACCTGCATGTGTGCTGAATTCATTATTGGATGCTAATTGTAGTTTTAATCAAGTGAAGGATACAAAATTTGATGATACCATTTTATAAGGAGTGTAAATCAAATGGGGGTGTACTAAGACCCTAAAAAAATCTTGGAATTCATGCATAATTCATAGCTTTTAGACCTGAAGCTTTCGATGTGTACATATTAACTGCTGTCGGTAGTTTTTATTACATGTCTAACGAATTCAGTAGTCGTGGATATTACCAACCATAAAATCAACTTATCCAGTTTCTGTAGGGCATTTTTTCTGTGTCTGCAATAGTTTTGAGTGGAGGGAGGGAGGGAGGGAGGTGCATTGGTAAATTTGCTGTGTTCCACCTTCTGATTGTTTTGTTTCTGGCATGCAGAAACTACCGGAGAGATCATGACACTGCTCTTTTCATATTGAAACACTTATATCGAGATATTCCTGAAGATCCCGATACACCTCCAGAATATACTGAACCCGATTCAAATGATTGCTGGTACAACCGAAGAGAAACTATTGAAGAAGAGCTTTCTTTGACATTTTCCGATGAGAATGTGGTACGAAACTTCTCTAGAAAAGCAAAGAAAATGATGAAAAATCATAGATAGACAACAAGCACATCGAATGGGGATTAGGTTAGTGAAGGCTGAACGACCGGGATTGGCATGTTAATGAATATGCAAATTTCCTCTATAAAAATGGGGAGATTTGCTGTTGGCGGGCTTGGGGTCACTTTACTCGGTATTCTCTCCTTTCTTTCCATGTACATAAAGAGGAAGACCAAATGGGGATCATAATATGTAACTTGTAAATTAAAACGTGTAAACAAGGCCAAACTGCTGTTCTCTGCCAGTAATAGAAAGTAGGCAGGCGAAGAGGTTAAAGTAGCAAAGTTCTAATGTAACCATTTATTATTCTTTAAAACCTCATCAAAGTAGAAGAACGCACGTTATATTCGAGTCGTAAGCTGTGCTGACAGTAAAACCACAACAATATGAAGAATTGAGTTCATCAGAGGTGACAATTCTTATTCCTTGTATAAAAAAGTTGGCATGCTTCAGCTCCCACAAGACCTGTTTCCATTACAAAACCACGATGAACCTACTCAATAGAATGATTATTCAAAAGATAAAAAATTTGCAAAATTGTGGACTAAGAAAGCACGGCTCTCCAGCACTCAATAATTGTCTGAACCAACCAAAACGGGCAAATTAGAAACAGGCCATTCGGATCATTTCGGTATCTGATTTATTTTCCTTATTTATCACTTCTCCAATACACTCCTGCCGCTTAACAGGCCTTCCATTGTAGAAAATGTATGGTTGTGTCATGAGTTTGGAGAACTAGCTCCACATCCACAATAGAGATGGATAACCTAAATTCTCCCTGCTCTTTTGACTTAATGGTTTTGGGGTAAAGGATTCACTGCAGATCCCAACCATCTTTTTCCAACTTTTCTGCCTTTCTCAAGACATTTTTCTTGGTGTCTTCTTGAAATTGGCTCATCCTACACATTCACGATACCATGTCACCAATTGTGCACATATGTCATAAAATTAGGTATTCTTTTTTCTTCCCACTATATATTTGTAAGCAAATAAGAGCCAGCACCTTGAGAGTAGATCCACATCTGCCACTCCCAGCATCCTTACCGCGAGCAAACCAGCATTCGTTGCGTTATTGATTGCAACAGTAGCAACTGGAACTCCCCTCGGCATCTGCAAGAACAGTCCTTAAAACAATCATAAATGCTGCGTGGGTACACATTTGTGAAATGTGAACCAAGAATTTCTAAAAGAAAATGATGGTTGTTCTGAATGTTGTAAAAAACACTTGAATAAAAGTCATTAGGAAAAAAAACTTCTGCCAGAACTAAAGACTATGATACAAAACTATAAAAGCTAGAACTTTAGAAAGAGATTTGGGTCTCATTGAAGAAAGATAGGATCCAATTTAAGAAAACAGGACAAACGAAGTAGCGTCAAATCACAAATCACCGAAGTGCATGTTTATACGTAATCAAACAAATGCAACATAAATAATTTCGAAGCCAATACAAAGTACCTGCACAATTGACAGAAGTGAATCAATCCCATCCAATGTCGAAGCACGCACAGGTACACCAATAACAGGCAAAGGAGTAAGAGAGGCAACCATACCTGAAAATCAATGCACCAGATTTCACACCAAGAACTATCCCGTGAATTTACAATGTGCAGTAACCAATTACCCACGTAATTTTGAACTCAAGACAGCGCAATAAAAACATATATTGTGTCCATTTCACCAGCCCTTTAGAATTAAAGCAATGAGATCTTTTGTTCTGTCCAAATACTATATATCTATACAGGAAGCATTCAAATGACTAGCCTGGTAAATGGGCTGCACCCCCAGCACCAGCAATGATAATCTGGATCCCTCTCTCCTGAGCAGATGACGCATAAGAAAACATCCAATGAGGGGTCCGATGTGCAGAAACTATCTTTATCTGCTTATTTTTAGAAGAAAAAGTTAGATATATATACATATATATACACACATAATGAACAGCATCAATCATCAACAATAAAAATTAACCTCATAAGGTACACCAAATGTGTCAAGGACCTTTGCAGCATCTCTCATTACCGGAAAATCCGAATCAGAGCCCATTATGATTCCAACACGAGGCTCAACTGAGTTGAGTATGTTTTTAATAAGAAATAAAGATACAAAAGTTAAGCAAACCAATGAAACCCAACCAAAAATTAAGCAAACCAATTTCCTTTAGGGATAGGAAAGAAGCTTTCAATAAAAACTAAGAGATTCAAAAGCTAGATTTATAGGTTAACCAATAAGACAAGATACAGTTTTCTTGTAAAATCCATTATACTTTTTTTAAAAAAAATAAAAGTGGAGGTATAAATAAGGAAAGCTCTTCATAAACTATCTTAAAAGGGTGACAGCTTGTTTTTTTTTTTTTTTTTCTTCTTTTTCATTTTCAAGTAAACATTGAAAAGATCATACGACCAGGTGAAGAATAAATGAAAGAACTGATTAGAATGCCAACTTCTGCAATTCGCATATTCAGTGACAATAAGAATAAACATGGGGCACAAATAAGATTATCTTCGTATTTTTATGGCAAACAGTTGGTCATTTCAAATGCTTAGGCAGTTTATATGGAACAGGTCAAGAAAGAGAACAGACAGAAAATGGGGAAAAAAACTGCTGTGTTTACCATACATATGTTGTTTTATTTTTCACCTTAAGAGAAATCTACACTTTAAATAATAACTAAAAACATTATAAGATAGGTTATATATGATCGAATGTCAGAATACTGGATTATTTTTGTGATAAAACACTATAACATGAAAGCACCATGGAGGGACGCTGACCTGCAGGCTTTTCAGAAGCTTCATCAAGCGTTGACGATAACAAATTTTCAACAGCACTCATAGAACGGCCAACTATCGTAATGTGACCCATTTTTCTTTGTTTTCTCATTTCTGGTTCATTGAAAGGGAGTCGATTAAATGTTATCTTTGCAATCCTTGAAGGGGTAAAATTTTAAGCGGAAGAGAATCTTAAAGCCTAACCCGGTTTATTATACCAATGAACAAAAGCTCCAGATATACTCAGCGCCCTTTGCATCAGTTGATTAGCTATATAAAAACCAGGTTCCCCCTGAAAGAAATGGCAACAGAATAACTATCAGACGTGTGGTACTTACACCTACCAAATGCATATTCAAAGTTCAAAATCTATTCTACTATGAAGTTTTACCTGATGCTCTTCCATTGATGTTGGTAAAGCTTTCTCCTAATTATGGTTGATTAACCATTGATGTCCCCAAAATTAGCAAATAGTGTTATATCATATACGACCTCTAAGTATCTCAGGCTCATCCTAGGATAGGTTCACTGGTACTGAAACTTATATGCAGAATTTAAGTCACTTAAGTACCTAGTCTCATATTCCTAAGCTGCTTAACATAAAGAAATTTATTTTTTAAGTACCTAGTACCTAGTCTCTTTTTCTTTCTATTTCTTTTTTGGCTAATATGCAGAATAGATTTGAGAGAATTTTTTAAGGTTGCCCTCCATAATTATAGAACCTTCCAAGGATGCAGCCACTTCGAGAGAGTTAGATAAGGCACATCACCATGCATTGTCCAAAGTAATCAGACTAGTTTACTCAAGATAGAAACACCAAATTCGCAAATTTATCCATGCAGAGATACAATCAATGATTAAAAAAAAAACATGAATAATATATGTATACATGAAGTAACAAAATAAAATTGCCTCACCTAACGTGTACTTTTTTTACCCTTGTTCTTTTTTTTTTTTTTTTTAAAAAAAAGGACACATATCTTCTATAAATAAAGAAAAAATCACAGATGAAAAGGGTAGGTATCCTTAATTTACCTCTTCTTCACCTAGAATGTTATACATAATAGCAGCTGGAGTTATCATTGATGGATCACCAAGGGGAAGACCAAGGACTGCCCGCAAATGCTGCTCAAATTGAGAGGTCTTGCAAGACTCAATTGTGTGATGACCACTATTATGAGGTCTAGGAGCTACTTCATTCAGTAAAATCTGTTACAGATAAAAAGAGATAAGTAGTACATTAACCCCAGAGTTAAAAGGAAGAAAAATGCAAATCAGACGATTTCTTCAATTTTACAAGTAGTAAACATTGATGATACAACCTGGCCATCTTCTGTCAGAAACAACTCTACAGCAAAAATGCCAGCACCTTCCAGAGAGCTAACAGCTTTGTATGCAACATCGGTTGCGAGGTTTTTGATCTCCCATGACACACTAGCGGGAGCTTTGACAATGTGACATATATTTTCCCTACAGAATAAGTTTTCTAATGTGATACCTAAATATTTTTTTACGAAACAACCAACTTTTATTGAAAAAGTGACAAAAATATATACACAAAATGACCAACAAAACAACGGCCCAGCAAGAGGAGATAGCCAAAAACTAAGCTATAACTATTGTGATGTCCAAATGCACAGGAGTAATGTAAGATCAGTGCAATTACATCTCACAATTTCCTTTTTATAAAAATAATTTCTTTCA